CACTTTGGGAGGCCAAGGTGAATAGATAGCTTGAGCTCAGGAGTTCAAGACCAGCCTGGGTAACATGATGAAACCTTATCTCTACCAAAAATACAAAAAAATTAGCCGGGCATGGTGTTGTGTGTCTGTAGTCCCAGCTACATGGGTGGGAAGATCACTTGAGCTCAGGGAAGGCTAAGTCTGCAGTGAGCCAAGATCATGCCACCGCACTCCAGCCTGGGTGACAGAGTGAGACTTTGTCTCAAACAAAACAAAACAAAACAAAACAAAACAAAGAGAATTCTGGTTTCCACACAAAAGGAGAGGTTACCATTATTACTGTAAGTATCAGTCTCAACATTATTATGACTCGGGGTGCACAGTTTTTCACCTCTGAAATCAGAATGCGTCTGTCAAACAGATGACTGTCATACATGTACAAAACCTTCTGTTGACTCTGCTGAAATCAACAGAGTGTCATTGCATCCTAACATCTATGAAATTCACTTTCACTTGGGAATTACAGAACAAGGCAAACATATATAAAGATTACGAACTAGTTGTCAGGCACAATGGTTCACACTAATCCCAACACTTAGGGAGGCCAAGGCTGGAGGATCTCTTGAGGCCTGGAGTTCAAGACCAGCCTGGGCAACATAGTGAGACTCCGTCTCTGCAAAAAGTAAAATAAAGAAAAATGATCATCTAAGTGCAAAGTGGATGGCATGGAAAACAGATAATGCCATTCTCAGAGAGCATCTCGATCGGTTCTCAAAAGTGTGCCTAAGAACAGAGTTTCCTGGGCTGCACTTGGAAGGCTGGGGAGTACTGAGGGAGCGAGAGGGCAGGTCAACTGTCTCTCCATAGTTATTTCTACTTCTTTTTGTTATGCGTAGAGCTGTGAAAGATGATAATGGCCATAGTACAATAGCAGAGAGAATCAAGTTGGCATTCAGAGCCTTTTGGCTGTTGCGTGTATCATTCTCTCTGAATGTAGTAGCTCCTGCAGCCCCTGGACCTCTCACACCAAGAGTTCCTACTTAACAATCCTCTACCCTTTACCTAAATGTGGCACACCAGGCTTTTCGTTCTGGCCTCAGTTTAGGCATCAGTTTAGCTGGGAAGCCTTTCCTGATACACCAACACTGGTTAAGTACCATCTCCTTCCATTGTACCTAATCCATCCCCTAACCTTATTACTTACTACTCAGTATTGTATTGCCTCAGACTTAATGTCTCTGCCATTAAATGGAAAGCTTCTAGAAGGCTGTGCTCTTTATTTTCCTTTGAATCCCAGTCTAGCACCACATCTGACACACGGCAGGTACTTAAAAAAGGTCATTTGAATGAACTTCAGTACCCAGCCCATGAATGTAACCTTATGGCTATAACTTCCAATACGCCAGTACTGGATCTTCCCAAGACAATAGACTCACATTGGAATCCTTATGGATATAACATTAATGTAATGGCTATAACTTTAATGGAATCCTTATGGCTATAACTTCAATGGAAGTTATAGCCATAAGAATTCCAATGTGAGTCTATTGTCTTGGGAAGATCCAGTTCTCTACTAGTTTTCACTGAAGGATTGGAGCTTAAATTATATACTTCTGATAGTACCCAGAAGTTTAAACTTACTTTCCAACTTATTATGAAAGTTTATCAGAGCAAGCTATCTGTGCCTGTCTGAGACTCTCATTAAGCCATTTCATGAAATATATGCATGAATCTGGGCACCTTGCATCTGAGAGTGCATTTCCAGTGGTTAGCACAGGAAGAACTGAAACCAGAGGCTGAAAATGAGTCGGCACTTGCTCACTAGCATTTAGGTCCCTTTCAATTTAATCAGAAATAACTTTTTATTCCTTTACCTCTTTTTTTTTTTTTTTAAATTAGGCTACTTAAGCTATTTCCATGTTAACTATGTAGTTTCTAAGTTGTTAGTGGGACTAGCCAACCAGTCACTTTCTCTTGTGGAGGGAAAGAAACTCTTTGCCGTGTGAGATTAGAGTGAGGTGTCAAGGAAAAGATGTCGGATGGTTTGAGGTCAGACTCTCTCCAAGCTGCCTCTCCAAACATGGTACTTGAATTCAGGATAACTGATCAAATTCTGCACTGAACATAAGGAATAGATTCTGCCTCTAGTCTAGACAAAGTCAGTGTAGCCTTGTAGTGATCAGGGATGAAAGCTGGCTTATGTGCTGTAGACTGTGTAACTCATTGGGATACATTGAAAAATGGATGCATTGAAGTGGCTAAATATGATAAGTGAAAAAAGGAAAGGAAGTCGCACTGATATCTGAATTCAACCCAGGTTTCTGTGTCCTACTTGTTCCACCTCCTATTTGTTTGTAAACTTCCGCATGTGGATTTTTTTCCTGAATAGACCATGTTGATGTACGGTATAGACATTGTGAGGTCCATGTTTTAGTGGCATTTTAGGAAAACACAGCCCAAAGTGGGGAAGCTATCACTTGAAAGTATGCCATTGTGCTTAGATATAGGCAGGAAATTAACCATGTCAGCCTGATAATATTTCTTTAAAAGCCTGAAACCCATTTTTTCATGCTGACAGTTATCAATTTCTTCTATAAACTCATTTCTATCATGATAAGATATCTTCAAAGTTGTTTTTTTCTGTCTAATCCTAAAAAAACAGAGCTGGTATCTGCCTGACTGCTCCAATGGGAGAGAAGTTGTTGAATGGGGTGTAGAACAGGGTTATGAAGAAAACAGTCCCATTTCCTCAATTCTGCTCCTTCTTCCTGCCACTCTCTTGTTATATAAAACATGCTCTGTAGAGCATATGTGCTTGGGACTACAGTGACCACAGTGTCATGTGGGGAAAACTCTGTAATAACTCATCTGATTTTTTAAAGTGCTTTTTGACGTGATCTTACTGTTTTTATCACGGTAATTTTATCAGGTAAAATTTCTGTTTTGTCAATTGACTAATTCTCCACTGAGCATAAGGAGTTGACAAATATTTAATTAATTATCTGAAGCTCCTGGAAGTTAAGAGAGGCATTGGAAACTTTGGAGAGCGTTCAGCAAAAGAATAAATGAAATTGAATGAACGTTGAAAATAAGTAAAAGTGTTGGAGTTGTAGTATTTAGAGAAGAGCAGGCCAAGCTGCATTCACATTCAGGAATAAGGTCGTTTATAATAGAGAGGATACTGGTTGACAGGTTTACTATACTATGAAAAAGTCATGAGAAAAAAAGAATTAAATAAGATAATGGATCTGGCTCACGTGGAATGATTTTTCTTACTCTTGAGAATTGATGAATCAAGTAACAAGTTACAAAGGCCCGTGTAATTTATTTTGGAGGCTCTTAAAAACAGGATAGAGTCTTTTCTACCTGGGATAGCTGAGAGGATCAAAAGGAATATACCATGTAATTTTCTTAAAGATTTTTTTCTTTTAAGATCCTAGATTAAAAGAATTACAGTGGAAAAAAGATTCACTGTCCATATCCATAGGCAACAAAAGAAACAACTCATATAAATAACAATTAGGCTTCAATCTCATTTTGGAACTACCACCTAATCTTATTTTGTGGAAGAAGATTGTGAGTTCTTAGGTAACTGCTTTCTTGATCTGCTTTAGGTTCCATAATTCTCTCTCATTGTTTTTAATTCTGTTAAAGTGTGTTTATTAAAGTACTAATGAGACCAAAGCCATACTGATTAAAAACAGAATTATTTATTTAAACCTTTTGATATTATGAAATCAAAGGTAGATTCTAATATTGGAAGATGGATTCAGTACTTCTGATGAGTTGTTTGCTGTGCACCTACAGTTTTTTTCCTTTGAACAATTTATTCCAGATCTGTTGAACTTACAAAATTTTTACAAAATGAAACTTTTTTAAAACATAAAAGCAATTTATTCTAAGAGCTCTAGGCAGGGTGTTTCTTCTTCAAGTGTTTTTTATAGCATCTAATAAATAAATAAGTATACTGCTGGCTCGGCAATACATATTAAGAGTAGATTTTGTTTATCATCACCCTGTATAATTTTTTAGAATGTTTGGAATTAAAGTTTGTTTCCTTCCCTGCTCCCCTTCTCTACTCACTGACCTTTGTATGGCTGTCACTCTTTCTTTTCTTTGGAACTGCACTTTAAGTATATCTCTCAAATGCTATTTTCTTCCTTTGTCTTTTACCTGGTTTCGTTTGCCTATTATCTTTTTATTTAATGTGCATCCTTCAGCTTCAGCCTTGTCTTATTTTTTAAATAGGTCAGTATATTTAAACATATTTGTTCATTTTTTCTGCCCCCTTTTTTGTAGGTAATTCAGATTACCTTCCAATCACAGATGTTTTGACTGATATCTTAAAAGTGGATCAGTATTTTCCTTTTTAGAGTACTCTGGCCCAGACCTGTAGCAGGGTCAGCCCACCCCCCAGTACCTTCGCCTCTGGGTCCCCTCTCCCTTTTCACTGTCACTGCCTGTGACAGTGATCTGGACTATTGCCATTTTTCCTGTTCCATCTCTCTGCCTCTCATTGTCAGCTCCTTCCACACACCTAGTAGAAGGCAAATCCGTGCTCTTCTTTCTTGCTTAAAATTTTTCACTACCAATCCCTTGTTCATAAGATGCAATAGAAACTCCTTAAAAAGTCCCTGCATGAATTGATCATTACTGTCTACCCAGCCTTCTCTCCTTGCAGAACCCCTGAGCTCTTCCCAGTTCATTTCTCTAGCCACATCAAACTCCACACTCTGGATGCAGAAAACAGGCTGAGTAAAGGCATGGAGACTTTTTATTTATTTTTTGACATGATTGTCAATGAAGTGATAGTTATGCAATGGAGTGATAGGAAGTGGCCCACTTGGTGCTGAGCACCAGTTTATGAAGAATTGCCATGGGTTGGGGTCAGGGCCCTGATGCCCAGCTAATGAAAGACAACGAGAGATCACCAAGCCGTTCTTCCCAAGAGAAGAAATTTGGTTCTCCCTTACTCACATCCATGCTCTGATATCCTCCACTGTTTCTTTCCCCTACCTCAGCCTGCGATGGTGATCACTGGGGTCCCCACTGCACTAGCCGGTGCCAGTGCAAAAATGGGGCTCTGTGCAACCCCATCACTGGGGCTTGCCACTGCGCTGCAGGCTTCCGGGGCTGGCGCTGCGAGGACCGCTGTAAGCAGGGCACCTATGGTAACGACTGTCACCAGAGATGCCAGTGCCAGAATGGAGCCACCTGCGACCACATCACGGGGGAATGCCGCTGCCCACCAGGATATACCGGAGCCTTGTAAGTCACATGCTACCCAGCAGCAGAGCAGAGCCCACCCACCCTCTCCATGCATGCTGCTGCTGTCATCATATTTCTTGTGCCTTGGTTTGCATTGCTGAAGAGTTACTGATGTGTCTAGACTGCAGGCACAGATACAGAGGTCAGCAGTGATGGCCACTAGGCGCTGCTGCTGTTTGGCCCTTTGGACATCAGAGCCCTGCCTGAATCTAAGGGCCAGCTTCCATGCTTTCCTTTTAGCAAGGCAAAGAGAGAGGATCACTCCGGATGTTGAGTTGAATGGCACTATTTGGGGGTTGCTGGGCATATTTGGGATTCTGCTTGGATCTCCCAGCATTATGCCCATTTATACTTGTTAATTGTCCATGTTGTTTTGCTCTTTGTGGCAATTAATTAGCTGGGGAAAATTTTGTGGATTCAGTGCATTAGAAGAGAAAGGAGAAAGATGTTAAAAATAGTTCATAATAAAAGATTGACTCTTAGGGATAAATATGTTACTTAACGCCCATGGATACATATTGCTGTGTGAATGTGAAGATATATGTATTATGTCTATGTAGATTATGTGTACACACATAGTTTAATTCTTTCTGAGGAACATTCAAGCAACTGCTTAACCTTCACTGTCCTTATTTTGTGGGAGGGGCATTCTTCAGTTCACTTCCATTCAGAAACAGAATTAAGAGGCAGAAGTTGCTAAAAAAAAAAAAAAAAAAAAGTAAGAGATAGAAAAATCCTGTTCCCTTAGTGAGAAAATTTCATTTATAAATCACAGAACAAAAAGTTGAAAAAACAAAGTGCAGCTGATTAGGTAAACATTTCCTGCCGACAGTGTTAAAAGTCTTTAGAGTGGAGCTAAAGAAAAACATTGCATTAGCCTAGAAAGCCCTGATTGTCAGAAGAATTGATGATTGTCTCAAACTGTTTAATTGTTAATATTGCTTTTATGGTTTTCATCAAAGCCACATTTGAATAGGGCTCTGGGAAACTTGGAGCGATTTCCCAGAAGAGCAGAAAAGACAAAGACAGAGAAGAAGGCCATGCGACACGCAGTGGGGGTGAGGGAAGGGAAACTTGACAGTCAGGGGGAGAGAACGCCAGAAACAGATGATGATAAGGAGATCATGTCCTTTGCAGGGACATGGATGAAGGTGGAAGCCATCATTCTCAGCAAACTAACACAGGAACAGAAAACCAAACACCGCATAAGGGGGAGTTGAACAATGAGAACACATGGACACAGGGAGGGGAACATCACACACTGGGGCCTGTCAGGGGGTGGTGCGGGGGAAGGGGAGGGAGAACATTTGGACAAATACCTAATGTATGCAGGGCTTAAAACCTAGATGATGGGTTGATAGGTGCAGCAAACCGCCATGGCACATGTACACCAACATAACAAACCTGCACATTCTGCATATGTATCCCAGAACTTCAAGTAAAATAAAAAGATTTTTAAAAACTGGATGATGAATAGGTACAGAAAGGGTGTGATTTGCAGCATCTCTGTTTTCTTTGGGAATAGAACAAACACATAAACAAAAGTAGACTTAAACTGGAGCATAAGTGCTTTATAGGAGCTCCATGGAAAGTTCCTGTCACCAATGAGTGTTTGGCCAGTTTTCTTTCTCAGTATTCTCAGATAGGACAGCTTCTTTTCAAACAGAAATGGCTTTATTAGAAAGTACCCCAAAATAAAGGGAAGGACCGGGTGACTCCTTAGAGACACTTTGAGGCAATATGATTAATGTTCTTGATGTTAATTAATTAAATGAACAATTATTGAACACAGAAAGCTTGTCTATTTTGGGGGACCTGGGTGCTGTTGTGCTGCGAACCTGAGGGTCATGTGTCTGGGAAATAACAGTGTCCTTTGTCACACGTTAATTCCTCAGCTGTGAGGATCTTTGTCCTCCTGGTAAACATGGTCCACAGTGTGAGCAGAGATGCCCTTGCCAAAATGGAGGAGTGTGTCATCATGTCACCGGAGAATGCTCTTGCCCTGCTGGCTGGATGGTAAGCTTCATTCCCACCTCCCTCCCTGCCCCCACCCCAAAGTCACCCATTCCAGGATATTCAGTGAATACACATGTGGGAGACTTTAGCACAAAAGAAACTTACAATGATGGTTGAATATTCCAAAATTGGAAATAGCCATTTTAAAGCTGAAACTCTTCAGTTCTGAGAAGACAGAAGAAGGTGATTGAGTCCTAGACTTGAAGGGCATTAATGGTTTTCATGTAAAGGGTAGTGGCCATTTGCCCTGCATTTCCCCTAAGGATAAAAGAAAGAGAGACAAATATCTAGTCTCACACAACAGTCAGTGCTGATAAACACTGGATTTATGTAATAATCATGTTCATAATTTTGTTCCATGAATTGCTGTTGTTCTTTGGGAATATTATTCTCAGCAGCGTAAGTGTCGTGTGAAAAAAAATCACATAAATCTGGGGATACATTGAGGTAAACCAGGTTTAGCAAGTATTGCAGGACTTCTCAGAGCCTTTAGTGTGATAATCCAAGAGGAAGCCATTCAACGTATTTTCCAGACTTTGACCAGGATACCCTTTCTTCATGTAGCAATGTCACATGCTTAGTGTTATGTAGAATACACAGTGACAATTAGTTTCAAATTAGACATCTGAAATCAGAAAATTTAGTAATATTGATGTCATCTCTCTGAGTCGGTTTGTGCATATGTCTGCTTGAAGGCAGAGGAGTGAGCAACCATCTGCTTCCTTCATTAACAAATTAACAGAGCAATGGCTTTTTTTTTTCCTGTCACCTTCTTTCTATGTCCATGAGCAGTTGTGAAGCTGTTCTTTCAGAGGTTACAAGGCACATAGTTGCCGAGACTCTTCTGTTCTCATTCAGCTTCATTTCTCCAAGGCTTTTCATTCTATTGATCCCCAACCTCCCTTCCTTAATCTCTTTGCCTTCTATTTTTCTAATCATCTCCTCTTTGACCTTTCATACTAAAGATCTCTTTTTCTAATCCCCCTTCTTCTACAAACTACTTCATTACAAGATTTTGTAGTTTTAAGTCTTGTCCTTCTCTTTTCTCACCAAAGATCACTGGACGGTTTTCCTAGATTTTGATCTTATCTGCCCTGAGCTTCGATTTATATTTGTCACCCCAACCTTGATAACCTATAAACACAGAGCCACCGACTGACTGGGCACTGCCGAGGCTGGAGTCTCCACAGGCAGATTTGGGAGTAGAATTGGTCTGACATTGCCCTTTCTTGTGACTATGGAACAAAGGAGAACTGGAGTCCACTTTTCAATGAGGGTCTTGGGAAGTAAAAGAGAGTTTAAGATGTCAAGGCCACTGGGACAAGTATACAATAAATATCAGATCCCAGGGGGTCAGAAACGGTGAGTAACCCAGACAAAGTGCATTCTAGAGGCAGAGCGTGGAGAAATAGCATGAGGCAATGGAGTTAGAGGAAGAGGAGAACTTTAATTGAGTGACTGAGGACGAAGACAAGTAAAAAAGACTGTTTAAGGACTACTGAGCAGGTTTGAGCAGGCCTGGCAAAGTCAGTGTTAATAAATTTAATCCAGACTTGTATACCCAAGTCTTTTGGAAGGCTACTCCTCCTCTACTTTTTTTTCTTGGTTGAAACTAGTACTTCTCTCTTAGTTGCCCGAGGTAAAGACGCTGGATTATTTTTGACTTCTTCTATTCTTTCATTTCCTGTGCTCAGCCTTTTGCCAACATTGGTCTTTTGCAATGGAAGAGTTTTGCTGGGGCAGCAGAGCGTTGGGAACCCCATGCTCTTTGGATAAGGAACTGCAGGCCTTCGACTCCCAGGACATCAGTGTAGATATTGTCTGTGGAGTTGCCTCACCTTGAGGCTGAAACTCTTCTCAGTTGGGCTGGTCAGGATGTGGGCTAATGGGAACCACAGGCCTGAGCTCTGAGTCCCAGTGCGTGGACAGATGGACTCTTTCTAGCGGCCCAATGGAGCCTCCCCTCACCTCTTTCTCTGAGTCCTAAGCCCCTTACCTTGACTGAAGTTTCTTACTTCTGCTTCGAAAATCCTTCAGCTTTTTTTTCTCTCTGTATAACTGAGCTTTTAACTTATACTTCTCCTTTGTAACATGTTATTTGTGCTATCATCCCAGGTGCTTTTCAAAGATGAATACATATTCCTATTACACACATACCTACATATTTCAACTCAGAGAAATCACATCCTCTTTAAAGCTGCTTGTGAAGGTTAATCCTTATGCATGAAGATATTTCAGTGCATTTCTGAAGCTTATGTGGACCATTATGGGTAGTTAAAGTTAGACCCTGAGAGAGTAAGGATTGCCACCCCTGCTTACCACAGACCGACCTTCAGCACGTTATTCCTACGTTCATGCTTTCACGTCACACTGACTATACCTTGTCATGCTAGAGTGGAGAGACAGAGCAATTTTCACATCTGTCCCCCTCCCCAAATTGTGAGTGAATTGAGGGTTGTTACCTTATCTTTGATTCTCTGTGCTTAGCTCAACGTCTGGCATGTAGATGATTCTCAGTTAAGTGCCGATTCAAATCATCTCTCAAAGGCCTTTTTGATTCCAAGAGTCTGTGGATGAAGTTTCCCTGTTTGTAGATAGCTAGAAACCACCAGAGGAGACTTAATTAGCACACCAACTGCCTTTGTGGGTAGCCAGGAGTTAGAGGAAATGTATTTTCTTCTTCTGTCCAGAATAAACATTTAGGAAACCATCTGGTGTTCGCTAGCCTCCGATTTCAGAGTGCCCACAGTCGGCCTTTTTTTAGAAAGAGGTTAGAGCAGCAGCTTCCAATAGTGAAAAACATTAGAAAAATCCCTGTTATTTGGGATATGTTGTTTGTCTACTTGTAACTCCAATAAATAGATGGGAAGCTATGAGCCCAAGTGATACAGCCAAGTGAAGAAGAAGACAGAGTATTTCATTGACTTATTGGTACAGTCCCTTATCCATGCCTGATTGGAGTAAATATAATGACTGTGCTTGACAACAGACAGCCTCCAGGGTAAGGAGAAATGTCCAAGTTTTTCTTTTGGTTTTTCTCCCCAGGAAATAAGCTTTCCGATTGATCTTGGCTCAGCAATGCTTATTGAATCTGCTGAAAATAAAATGTTTTTCCTCTGAAATAAATGTCTAGGTTCATTCCTGCAGAAGTCTTTCTTTGGCAATGTGATTGTTAATTCAGGTACACAAAATACCAATCCTGTGTTATGCTACATTTTAAGACATAAAGCCAATGATAACGTGTAATTTCTCTGGAACATATGGTAAAGCATTTGGATATTCCACGTGTGGCAGATGTTGCCATTTATGTAATGGATACTCAGTAAGTATTGTTGACTTATTGTGCATGGAAGACACATGGAAGAACACTTAGGAGGATTTATACATTCCTTAGGCTGCCATGATAATTTGATGTAACTTTGTCATAAACTTCAGTTTTAATGTGGATTTTTCTTAAGATTAATATTCAGCCATCTTTGAATGTATCTTAATATTTGGACTTATTGAGTAATTAATTAAGTCAATTTAATATTTCTAACATTTGAAAGATGATGAACAGTTTATGTGCTCTAAAAATCCCTTATCTAATTTTCTTGCAGCCCTGTTCCCCATCCCTCCTTTCTATTTCCTCTCTTTTCTTCTTCATCCTTCAGTCGTCTTTCCCTGGCTGGAGGCCCATCTAATTTTCCAAGTCTCTTTGAATGCAGGGCACAGTGTGTGGTCAGCCTTGCCCTGAGGGTCGCTTTGGAAAGAACTGTTCCCAAGAATGCCAGTGCCATAATGGAGGGACGTGTGATGCTGTCACAGGCCAATGTCATTGCAGTCCAGGATACACAGGGGAACGGTAAGGGATGCCCTTGTATTTCTCTGACTGTTTATAATGGTGTGAAAGGAAAGTCTGTGCTGTCCAGGGAACATCTTCAGTACCATGTGTCCATGACTATTCCATAATATTTCAGAAGCAGCTAAACAGCATCAATGTGTTTGGCAGGTTCTATCCTAATTTAGTGGCTAGAAATTGAGTCATAAATAGCAATGGTAAATTGAAGATAACAGAAAAAGCGCTAAAAAAAAAGACCATAAAATATCAGCTATCCAGAACCCATGATTAATATGTCATTCTAAAGTGTTGAGTGTTTAGGACTGCCACTTACATTTTAAGTATTTGGAGATAGATTTGTTTTTCAATGGGATGTGCACTTAGGTACCTTTAAAAAGTATAAAATTACTTTCTTATGATTCAGTACAGTCTTAAGAACATTCATCGTTGTATTGTGTGGTGGTGATAGAGTCAGATCTGCTGAGACTTCTAGGGCTCTCTGGTCCCACATAAAACAGGAAAAAATGGCTGTGCTTGTGTGGGTCTTACTGTTCTGTTTATCATGGTCTGTATTAGATGGTAAACTGCTGCCTCTGAGGGCTTTGTACACCCTACTTCCTTTTCTTCAATATTTTTCTTTTTACTTTTTGTGGTATGTAGTAGGTATATATATTTATGGGGTACATGAGATGTTCTGATACAGGCATGCAATGTGCAATAGGCACATCATGTGGAATGGGGTATTCATCCTCCCAAGCATTTATCCTTTGAGTTACAAGCAATTCAATTATACTCTTCAAATTCTTTCAGAAAGTACAATTAAGTTATTATTGACCATAGCCACCCTATTATGCTATCAAATTGTAGGTCTTATTCATTCTTTCTCATTTTTGTACCCATCAACCATCCCCATCTCCCCTACACCCTCCCACTGTCCTTCCCAGCCTCTGGTGACCATCCTTCTACTCTCTGTGCCCACGAGTTCAATTGTTTTGATTTTTAGATCCCACAAATAAGTGAAAACATGTGATGTTTGTCTTTATGTGCCTGGTTTATTTCATTTAACATAATAATCTCCAGTTCCAATAATCTCCAGTTCCAGCCATGTTGCTGCAAATGATTGGATCTCGTTCTTTTTATGGCAGAATAGTTATTGTAACTATTTTCAATTTTAACTAATATTGTAACTAAGTTTCAATTTTATGGCAGAATAGCTATTGTAAACAGTGCTGCAAAAAACATAGAAGTGCAGATATATTGCTTCCATATACTGATTTCCTTTCTTTGGATATATTCCCAGCAGTGGGATTGCTGGATCATAAGGTAGCACAATTTTTAGTTTTTTGAGGAAGCTCCAAACTGTTCTCCATAGTGGTTGTACTAATTTACATTCCCATTGACAGTGTACAAGGGTTCCCTTTTCTCCACATCCTCATCAGCATTTGTTGTTGCCTGTCTTTTGGAAATAAGCCATTTTTAACTGGGTTGAGATTATATACCATTGTAGTTTTGAACTGTATTTCTCTAACGGTAAGCAGTGTTGAACACTTTTTCATATGCCTGTTTGCCATTTGTATGTCTTCTTTTGAGAAATGTCTATTCAAATCTTTTGCCTATTTCTGATTGGGGTATTACACTTTTTCTATAGAATTGTTTGAGCTCCTTATGTATTCTGGTTATTAGGCTGGTGCAAAAGTAATTGAGGTTTTTGCCATTTAAAGTAATGGTGAAGATTGCAATTACTTTTGCACCGACCTGTAATCCCTTGTCAAATGGATAGTTTGCAAATATTTTATCCCATTCTGTGGGTGGTCTCTTCACTTTGTTGCTTGTATCCTTTGCTGTGCAGAAGGTTTTGAACTTGATGTGTGCATCCTTCTTTTAATATGCTCTTGAATCTGTCATGTCCTGGAAGACTAGTTAGCCGAGCTCACTGTGGAGGATTAGAGACTTGAGAGGCAGAAGGGCATAGTGACGAAAAACAGCCATTTGGAACCTAGGTTTAGCTCAGTGTGTCCCTGGAAACACCTTTGTCTGTAACATCCTAATAATAATTGTGCTGCTCTCTAGTGTTGTTATGAGGGTTAATGTGTTAAAATATTTAAAATCAGCCCTGGAACTTATCAATATTAGGTATTATTATTCTAGAACAATTTCTATGAACTGTGTAGTGATTATCAATTTGAGTAATGTTTACAAGCTGTATAAATATTAACTCTCATTATTTTTATGATGTCTGTGAATTAAGAATTACTTCAACTTTTTTTCCTATTTTTTCTTCTTTCTAAAATCCTGTTCTAATTTTATGACTTTTAATAAGATACTGTCAGGTTTGTTCCCTCTTCCCTCCAACTTAAATGCTGCATTTTCTTATTAAATTTATTTCTGAGTATTTTGTAGTTTTTTTAAAATTTTATTTCTGCCTCTAATTGGGTATTTCTAGTTGAAGAAAAACTTGCTTTTGAATATTTACTTTTAAATTTATTCATACTACCAAACTTTTAAGGTAATTTTAATATTGTTTTTGGCAAATTCTGGAGTTATTTAGTTATACTATCATATCATCTACAAATCCACATGTCTTTTCTTTTTAATATTTATAATGATTATTTTATTTCCTTGAATTATTGTATAAATTGGAACCTCCAAATTAATGTTGACAAACAGCAGCGAAAGTAAAAATCCCTGTCTTGTTCCCAAATTAATTGGAAATAGCTTCAGTGTAGTTTCATGTTTGCTGTTTGTTTTTAGTAAATTGTTTTCTTCATTCTTAGTTTTTTAAATTCCTTTTTTTAATGAAAAAGTTTTGCTAATAGTAGCCACTCAATTTCATTAAATGCTTTTTTTGTCTTTTGCTAATATAATTTCATATTATTTCTTTATTTTTTTCATGCTATGAATTTTTCAAACCCTTAGTGCATAGTTTTCGTAACATGTAATTGGGGTACTCAGAAATATTTTGTAACTGCCATCCTAGTTTTAGGTTGTATTTTGGATAGATTAGCCTATTAGATAATTTCTGGATCCATGTAATGTCTTATAATAGATAAATGAGTTGGGCTAGGAGAGGCACAAGACCAAGCACAATCTTAATAATAGTTTTTGGTCATATTTTAGGGTACTAAAATGTCAATATAATTATTTTCTTGCCATCTAGGGATTTAAGTTTCAAATTAGAGGCAGCACAAGAACAACAAACCCACAAGGCTAATGAGCTTATATTTATTTCATCTGGAATGCAGGGAAAGGGAATAACAGTTAATTTTCACATAAATTTTACATTTGAGCCAAGGAAGGTCAGGAGCCAGAGAAAGAGAAGGCAAGTAAAGACAGAACTTGCTTCTTGACCTGCTGCTCTTGTAACTATTGATTTTCTGATGAGCCAGTGATATGATTCCTGTTTTCAGCTGTCATCCCTGTCTGGGTTCTAGAGTTCACACACATAAACACACAAGACAACAAACATGCTTGTGACTATGAAAGGACAACAATGAACGGCCATGAGGCAGTCTGTGGCAGGAGGTGTGGGGAGAAACGGCTTGGGCCGGGGTCTTAACTTGCTACTTCCCTTGTTTTGAGAAGTCAGGGAAATTTGATCATTGAGGTTAGGGCAGAGGGCTGCCGGCCCTACCAGCCGACAGAGCATTCCCAGGATGTGGGGACAGCCCTCCCAACCAGAGGGAAATAAGAAAAATCCAAACAGGCACCTCGTAGGCTGGCAGGGCAGTGCATGGGATGCCCAAATAAAAGGCGTTGGGGTTTGTGGAAAGGTTGAGAGGACATTGCGGTGAGTAAATGTAATATGGTACAGTCAAGTAAGAGTGAAGAGGCGATGGTTTCCAGATCCTCAAAAAACTCCTTCTGAAAGGGTTAAAAAAGAGTTTTGAATGCTGATGGTGCTGCCCTAGAATTACCCTGGGCCCTGCATCAGCCTCGCATGGGCCCATGAACGTGACTGGTGATCAACGAGTGTTAGTTGGCTTGAAGGGATGCATGACTCAGTGATGAACTTCCAAAAAAACAGCTCTGCCAAGTCTGTGTTCCCTATTACCCTGAAGGTGAAGACAAATGGGGGTGAAAGGAGGTGAGGTCAAAAATTACAGACAGGAATTGGAGGGATGCAGCATTGGTCGTCAATGGAGGAACGCTTTCCTGTGTCTAGAGCGTGGAAATGTTGGCTGTTTCCCAGTGCTTTTTACATTTCCCCCAGAGCAGCGGTTCCAGATGTTAGAAAGGTAGGCAGCTGATTCATAGATCCCAGGTTTAATGAGGAATGTGATTCTTTCACACTAAATCATGGTTTGGCCTAACTATTCCAATCACTCTAGGGAAGGACATGCTCAGGACAGGCGTGAAAGTGGTACCTGTCACCCCTTACACGTTAAATCGCTTCCTTTTTTCCTGAAGTTCACAATGACATGCAACATAATAATAGAAATGGTATTAAAACAAGTCTATAACCCTCATTGGTTTTGGAAAGTGATGTTTTAATACTTTATCTCTACTTAATACTTATCCTTTCTTACCAATTCCAAAACATTACTTGAAATGTAAAAAAAAATAGAAACCCCAAATTTCCATATTTCTACTGTGGCTGATCTTTATTGCTGCTATATCTTTACTACTTTTCTGCTCTCTGTCCTAAGAAAATGCATTTCCTCTTTTACTGATTTCTGAGAGCTTCTCCTGTTCCATTTGGGATGACCCTAGAAGCAGCATTAAGGGCATAAAATTTGTTGGGAAATGGTGCTTCTTGAAGATACAGTGACCAAAAAGGAGATAAGAATGCTTAATAAAGACTTTGAATGCAGCCAATCAGAAAGGCATCAGCTATTTTATGATTATGTTTATTTTCAAGATGGAAAATATATACTTTTAGAAAGAGATCCTACCATTTTGCTTTGGTAGATAGAAATAAACCTGCTATTATTAACAGAATTGTCTTACAAGTGTAACATTGACAAAAAATAAAGTGGGAATATGAACCCAGCTTAAATAATGGCTGCTTTAGTAAGTAAAATTCAAATAGGATTTTTTTGTTTTATATTTATAATACAAACTAGTAGTGTGTTTAATTATAGGTTAGAAAGGTAAATATGGGTCAAGACCAGCTATTATAGATTTTATTTTTCCTGAGAAAGGAAGTCTCTGCCAAGATATGATAAAATATACACACTGGTTCCCTGTAATTTGGTAACAGATACTTTCCCAGGCTTCCCATCTACACCACTTAGAACCACTTTCAAAGCTGTGCTCTTGACCAGGTTGAAATCATGAAGATAGGTCAAAACTTAAAATTTGAGTGTGTTTTCACATTCTTTTGGGAGAGAGAAGTGATCTTATTTATCTTTATCTTTTTCCTTTTGGTATTGATTTGCAAGAAAATCTAACAGACAGTTTGAAAAGTTGTCTTGTCAGCCTTCAGTAGGAGCCAGGATGAGACTGAATTATTGTACCTAAGCATTTCTTTCTTTGAAGTTTACATCTTTAAGGAATAAACTAAATGACTTGGCTTATTGAAGCTTCTTAAAGGTTAAAAATAAAGAGCACCTTTATTTTTGAAAATATATACTCTGGTCCAAAAATAGGTTTACCCATGCATAACTTCTAGGCACATATTTTATTTTATGCTGAGTGTTAGTTTAATTATTCCATAACTTTTCTAATGGTTTATTGAGCACTTGAAGGTTTCCTGTTGACAAATACACCTGAAGATGTCTAGAATCTGTGAAACTAAATTTACATGAGATTCTTTTCCTTGTCTCCATCATATTAAATATATGCTAGAGCCAGAGGTAGCCAGAAAAGTATCGAAGGGGCTGGTCCAAGTGGCTCATCCCCATACTCCCAACGCTTTAGGAGGCTGAAGTGGGAGGATCACTTGAGTCTAGGAGTTTGAAACCAGCCTGGGTAACCTAGCAAGACCTCGCCTTTGCAAAAAATTTAAGAATTAGCTTGGCATGGTGTCGAGTGCCTGTGGTCCTAGGTACTCAGGAGGCAGAGGTGGGAGGGTCACTTGAGTCCAGGAGTTTGAGGTTACAGTGAGCTATGATGGCACCACTGCACTTCAGTCTGCGTGACAGAGGCAGACCCTGTCCCCTCCAAAAAAAAAATTATCAAGATTTGTCCTCCACACTGAAATAGAATTCCTCCCACGCTGGTATTGTTACTTGTTGCACCCTATCATTAAAAATATGCAAAGCTACAAAGAAACAGTATTTCTTTGAAGTATGTTTCTTTTCTGTTTCTTTTAAGTGTGCTTGAATTTGTTATTATGCCTTGCTACTCACATTATACAGATCTAAAAAATGCAAGGCTGACCTACATTTTTTACTCTGGTTCTGGCCTGACTTAAGAGCCACATGGGAAGTGGCTGCCCAGACAAAGTGTACCCTTCTTGCGGCAAGTACTCGGCTGGGTGAAGCCGTCTCCCTCTCCCTTGGCAGAAAGCTCTCCTTCTGCCGCAGAGAGCCAGTCACCTGGCTTAGTCAGAAAGAAACTTGGCTAGTCTAAGAACTACTCATGCTTTCCATGGAGCAATGAAAGATCATTTTCTCTTTTCTATCACGATTCCCTCTAGCAATCTCAGCTTCCCACGTCATTCACCTTACCTAGAGCATATCCCTTCTCCTGGACAGAGCTCCAATGCCATTTTTAAGAAGACAATAAAGTGAATTTTTGACGGCTGATCTTTACTCCTTGTTATTTGCAGCCCTTCTTCCCTGCAGAGGGCAAAACCTCACTAGCCAATCGTTTCGTGTTAGAAGACTCCAAGCTTTTCTACTGGCAGGCACTTCTCAGGTTGGAATCGAGGACATCTGATTTTGGTAGCTCAGAGTTTCCCAGATCTAAAAAAGGACTTGGCTTATTAGTTACAGAACTTTCTAACTGAGGAGTAATGATTATCATTCAGCTTTGAACAAGAGTAGAAACATGGCTAAGATTAAAAATCAATGTCCACATGAAAGCCAGGAGAATTAACATTTAGTTCAAATTTGACACAAAGTTTTCTCTTTGGAATCAGGAAAGTATGTTTTGAAATGTCACAATTATGTACTGGGACCAACATTTCAAAATTTCTTTTCTCACTTTCTTAGTATCCGCTAACGTGCTATGTAACTTTGGCAGATACTAAGTGTAAACATGTCTCATGTGCTAAGCTCATATTTTGGTTTTGGTTTCATCTTTTGCTGTTGTTATTATTTGTTTTGTTTTTGTTTTCTACAGGTCCTGCTGCTGTTAACATTATATGTAGCCAGAGTAAAGCATCTTAATGCTTTTCATCCCTGCCATGGGACAATCACTAAATAATTGCCAGAGCAAAAAGCAGTTCAGTTTGTGCATAACAAAGCCATTCTGTATCAACCGTTCATTTTCGCATGGCACTAACTAATCTTTCTTCTTGCTCCTGCCTCTTGCTTGGTAGGTGCCAGGATGAGTGTCCTGTTGGGACCTATGGTGTTCGCTGTGCTGAGGCCTGCCGGTGTGTCAATGGAGGGAAGTGTTACCATGTGAGCGGTGCATGCCTCTGCGAAGCAGGCTTTGAGGGCGAGCGCTGTGAAGCACGCCTGTGTCCCGAGGGGCTCTACGGCATCAAATGTGACAAACGGTGCCCCTGCCACCTGGACAACACTCACAGGTGAGTGTCAGCTTCCCCTGGAAGGACGTGTCCTATGAAAATTTTAACTTCGGTTTTCAGGATTTGGAAGGAGAGATTGATAGAGTGGTTCTCATCCCAAGCCCCTTCCTGCCTTTAGGCTATTCTGGGCAGGAATTGCTAAGTAAGAGAAGACTTTTTAACTTAATGAGTGATGGTCCACATCAGAGGTGCTAAAATTGTTTGATGGTCACTGGTGGATATCAAATTCTATTCTCTATTAACGACCACTGATAAAAATGAAATTTGCTGAGGTGAGTAGAACTTTCCCCTAAGCAAGGGATTCTGTGACATTCCCTTAGAAGCAAAGATGCAATGAGAGACAAGGAGTTCAGCCAAGTTTAGTATGCAAAAATATCATAAAATGATTCTTACTGCAGCATCTTTTATTTGACAGCACATCTGTGGAAGGAAAAAAAATGGCTAGAGAGAAGAAGTGTACTGGTGGAAGTTTTGTGGAAATGCTTCACATGTGGCTGTCACATGTGAAATATCTCTTTTGAATTGATTACTGTGACATAGAACTCACAAGGGACTTTTAGGTCAAAAACCTCTCGAAGAATTTGAGAACAGGAAACCATGATCCCACCCACCCTACTGTACCTTGTCTGCCCTAAAAATATCTTCTTACCCCTGTTTCTTCTTTTCCTACCCCGGGGACTAGATACACATAACTTAGAATTCTGGACCTCCTTTGCAGACTGCTGGAAAAGCTGAGTTTGACAAAAATGTAGTATATTATATAGTAGTTCATATCTTACCAGAATGACTTTTATTTGCATTCAGTACAACTGTTACTTCATTTATACTTCTGAAGGATAACTTGGAGCCACATCAAATCCCAAATGCAAAAAAGTTAAAAGTAAACAAAAGCATGTGGTTGGTCTCTTCTTTAAGCCCTTGTTATTATTATTGTTAGTAACCAAAGTATAGAGCTTGCACTCAGTGTGTGTGTGTGTGTGCATGTGTATGTGTGCTGGAATACATTTTAGTGGAACATGTCAAAGAAATATATTGTCAATATGATTCAACTAACTTTGTAAGCCACATTAGTCAACTTCTGGTTTTCTTCATTGGAAAATACTGCTTTTCTTTACATGAAAAGTTTATGTAAATATTTGGAGTAATAAAAATGAATAATCTCCACAGGGTTTTGTTTTTCAAAAGTAAGCCTCATATAGTGACAACTAAGAACATTACACCAGTATGCTGTTTCATTGTATATAGACACAACTGGAATCAAATGGAATAATAAATCTATGCAAAGGAAGAGCTGTGCTATCAGAATTGGAAAAGCATAGAGCATGTTGGTTTTGTTGGATTGGATACCATGTTAGTAGCGGCAAGGTGCAAAGTGGAGAATTATTTGATTGATGGCAAAACTGGTAATTTTGACATAGGTCATATGTACCTAAACATGTATGTACTAACAAAGAAGTACATGACATTGACAATTTCATAGATCAGTAACACTAAAATCTGTCTAATAATGTATACCAAATAATCAGAATAATTTTTAAAAAATCAGTCTTTTCATGATTTTGTAAATCATGAAAGGCATTTTTAAAAATTAGCTTTTACAAATTTCTATTAAAACAAATTAAATGTTGATTATATGACTCTATCTAATTGAATTCATCATTGGAGCCATCTGTCTAATTCTTATATCGTGAACTTTCACATGTAAAAAGAATTTCTGGAAGGCCAAGATCCCTTCAAACCAAAAGGCATAGAGTCCTTGTATTAATTGAAACTCTAGTTTGTTCACATTTTCATTTATCAAGCAAGTGGAGCTTTGCTGTTACATAATTTATGATGTGCTAAAGCCTTTCATTATAATTAATGAGATAACAAATATGATGTATATTAATAATGTGCATTGTCTTTAGGTACATACTGAGTTCTGTGGATATACACATTGACATATATTGTAGCCCTATAGTTGGGTAAGGGTTTGTATCAGGTAGCTTTTGTTACATTAAATAAAAACAACTACCCCAAACCTAATGATATAAAATAACATTTATTAACTGATGATTTTTTGCTTGACTATGTGGGCTAGGCTCAGCCTGGTGATTCTTGTGCTGGGCTCCCTGTGTTCAGCTGGCAGATCAACTGGAGGCTGATTGGTCTTGGATATCCTCACTCACCTGTCTGGCATTTGGGTGGGTGAGAGGGGTGACTGAGCCATGCATCTCCAGGATCTAGCAGGCTAGCCTGGGTTTTTCACATGGTAACTGGTTTCTAAAAGCAATGGAAGACAGGACAGACCCCAATGTACAAACACTTTTTAAGCCTTTGGTTGTGTCTTATTTGCTAATGTCCCTTTAGATAAGGCAAGTCATCTAACCAAGTTCAGATTTGATATACTCCACCTCTTGATGGGAGGTGTTGCAAATAATTTGTAGCCATTTTTATTTTGCAATCTATCACAGGGTTGAAATGAATTTAAATATATTTATAAGTAATATTAGTATTTTAAACCTTAGCACTATTATTGAGCCTAAAGACATTCGCTGTGACCTGGACTTTTCAACTGAAAACTAATTTTTGATGGAAATGATTTTGAACAAGAAAATAAAATTTGAGATTTAATAATATTCCACTTGCAATATAGAGAAATATATTAGTTGCTTTTGGTAATAAAGACATTTAATAGCCATGGACAATCCGGAGTGCCTATTTGCAAATCTCACGTAATGGTTATTACATATGAGCATTAATAACATCTAAGGAAATGAATAAAAGGAAGTTCAATGACTATTTCAGCCAATATTATATAGTATTGGACTTTTGTGTAATTCAACTATTAAATCAAACAGTTTCCTAAAATATATGTACATGGTTATATGCATGTATAAGTGACAAATATTTCCATATGTGTATAACCTATTTTTATCTAAACAAAGCAATCTGTTCTTTAGACAGAAAACGGGTAATGAGTATATCACCCTTCAGCCTCCAATCTGCTGCTCCTACATCAACACGTAAATCTCATTACCAATTAAGCTGCCTGCATGAGAACCCATCAAATGCCTCCAAAGTGCTCTAGCTTCCTACATCTAATTACAAATTGCAGAATACTAATTTTGGTGTCAATCAATCTGAAAACCAGTGTGCCGCACTAACACTCACTGAGGGTCATTGAATATCAATTTTTCAGCCTGCCTCTTGCTTCAATTCATCACCCTCCAAATTGTCTATTTGCTTTAACATTTATGTCTACACCATGAATATTATTTTCTACTTTTTAATATAAATGTTAAGAAGATTTTTTAATACAATATGTTAAGAAGATAAGGTAGGCTACTCTAACCAATCCATCACTTGAAATATTTCTTTTCCTTTTATCAAATGTAAGGACTTACTGAAGTGAATTTAAATTTTTCCCTGTTTTTTTCATACAATATTTGTTTTTACTGATCCTGTTGACCCCTTTATATGTGCTGAATCCTAAATTTTAGCAATTCTCCTTCATGTCTTGTCCTCTTAGCAGGCTGTTAGAAAACCTCCTTTTTCTTTGGTATAAAAACAAACCTAGGTTCAAGTTTGATTCTGCCACTACCTGTGTGAGACTTTGAATAAATAATTTACCCCTTCTAGGCCTCTATTTCCACATTTGGAAAATGGGATCATATTTACCATCTAGGAAGGTTGTGCAGATTGAACTAAATTGTGCTCAGCACATTGCTGAGACTTACTCAGTGCTCAGGAAATGCTGTCTCCTTACAATGTCATCACAAACATGGTGACATTAATGAGTTGTTCCCTGTGATTAATGGCTATTTCCTTTCAGCCAAGACGTTGACATTTTAGAAACTAATTTTAGAGGAAATATTCCCCTTTGCATACATACATACTCAGTATAACTTAACATTGTTTGGTGACTCTGAGATGTAAAGGAGAAGCAGATTAGTGTGGGAATGCTAGATCTCTGGAGTCACGTCCACTCTGGATCACTTGTGGCATTTTCACTTATTCAATCAGCACATACTGTGGGCTTACCATGTGCTGGTGAAAGGTAGCAAAACAGATTTAATTCTTGTCCTGCTGGAATTCACAGTGCTTCTAGAAGGGAAGGAAGACATTAAAGGACTGGAAAATAAACATAGGATTATAGATTGTGATAAGTGAGATAAGAAGAAGGAACAGGGTGCTAAGGAAGGGTGTAAGTGGAGAGACCTGACTTAACTTTGGGTGGTCAGGGAAGGCCTCTTTGAAGAAGGGATGTTTAAGCTGAGGCTGGAAAGGCACACTGGAGAGAGCTAGGCAGAGAGTAAGGAAACTGCATCCTAGGAATGTGAAATAGCCATGTGGAGGCCCTTAAGTTGAAAAAAACTTGATGCTTTTACAAACTAGAAGAAATCCAATGTGGTCAGGCATAGCAATAAAGGGAGAATAATGATGAAAGAAGAGGTTGAGGAGTAGGCAGTGGCCAGATGACAAAGGCCCTGTGGGCTGTGTTTAGGGTGATTGTGTATCAGGTTTCACAAGGACAGTCTGGTTCAGGCCTGTTGTCCTAGTATAATTATTAGCAGCTCCCTCTTCACTCTTAAAAATGCCCTGGTTTAGACAATAAATTCTGTAGTCACTGTAGCTATATTAAACAGTCCAGGTTTTGTTCCGAGGGTGGGGGGAGCCTTTGCAGAGTTTTAAGAAGGAGAATGATATGAGTTATGCTTTAGGTGGTAAGGCATGGGTGGATGCAGGCAGCACAGTTGGAAGGCTGTTCAGAAGGTGAGGAGGTAGATGGCATCGGCTGGAGCAGAATGAGGATGACAGGATGATTCAGAATATATTTTGGAGTTAGAATGGTTAAATTCTAGTGATGAGGCAGAAAGAGTTATCAAGATTAACTCCTAGGCCAGGCACGGTGACTCAGGCTTGTAATCCCAGCATTTTGTTTAGGAGGCCAAGCGGGCAGATCACTTGACGTCAGGAGTTTGAGACCAGCCTGGCCAAAATGGTGAAACTCCATCTCTACTAAAAAAATACAAAAATTAGCTGGGCATAGGGCACACACCTGTAATCCCAGCTAGTCGGGGGGCTGAGTCAGGAGAAATGACAGAGGTTGTAGTGAGCTCAGATTGCCCCACTGCACTCCAGCCTGGGTGACAGAGAGAGATTCCATCTCAAAAAAAAAAAAAAAAAAAAAAAAAAAAGGGAAGGAAAGAAAGAAAGAAGAAAGAGAGAAAGAGAAAGAAAGAAAAAAAGAAAAGAGAGAAAAAAAGAATAACTCCGAGATAAACTAAGTGATTGGTGGTGCTATTTAGGGAAATTTGGAAAATTGGAGATAGATACTGAGGGGGAAGAACAAAGGCTTCGTTTTAAGTTTGAGATGTCATGGGGATGCCATGTGATTGCTCGAGGATAAGTGATTGGCCCAAGGATAATAGAAGTTAGGCAAACTTGAATAGATCTAAGTAGATCTAAGTAGGTCTGAGACTCACGCCCTGGTCCTGTGAATCTAAACCTGTACCCGAGAAACCACCTCTTATGTAGAACTGTACTTAGTTATTCTTCATGCCATGTTTTCTGAGTGTTTGGTAAATTTCTAGGCCTTTGCCTATGAACACTAAGGTGCAGCAGAGGTCTAAAAGTATTTTTAAATAAAATTCTGAAAATGAGCACCAAATCATCCAACCCGCAGACATTTTCTGAACAAGGAGGAGGAGGAATATAGGCCATGAGATTATGAGGCATGGCTACTGAGGCCCTCACTTGACAGACCAGGACATCAGGTCCAGGGAGGTTGTATGCTTTCACTGAGGCTACCCAGGTAGTGGGAGAACTGGGATTGCACCCTCATTCTTCATCCCTCTCAGGTGGTCATTCTTGCCAAGAGTTGAAAATCTATGAAGAGTCCTCTGATGGGAGGTCATTTAGCAAATGTCTGGTATGACAGAGGTGTTTGTTGTTGGCCCTAGTTAAAGGGAGGGTTTTAGCTCTATCAGGTGAGGAAGGCCATCTTTAAATAGTCTTCCAATTGTCAGCAGAGCTACTTTGATTGTTAAGATTTTCTCGTGGTGAGAAGCACATGTGTTTTGAGCCAGCATGCCACAGAGGGCCCCATTGTGTCAACTCACTAGCGTGCATTTCAGCACAGCTGATATGTCCATTTGCTACGGAGCAACAGCTGGTTGCCTGGCAGGTCAATGAGGCTGCTGTTTCAGGTGGAGACAGCTGCTTGCTACCAGGTATAGGGAACTGAGAGGAGAAACAGGCTGATGAGGCCACTGCATTTGGTATTCCTGGGACAGCATACTAGTTAAATGGTTTGGTATTGTCCGTTGGATGGAATTTTTTTTTTAGCTCTTCTCATAGAGTTGACCTCTTACAAAATTAATGCGGTCAATTTAAGTGAATTAAAAAGAATTTCAGACAAAAGGATGTGGTTGTAATAGTCATCCTGCTAGAGATGATGCTGATTTCATACATTTCTGTAGTACCCATCAGGTTTCAACCAATCAAGCTTGGGAATGAAGTTTGAATTATTGTACGTGGGATTACCCACACATTTAGTGATCATTGCTAAAGCAACATTTGCACAGAAGTTGGGTGTCATGTTTACCCCAAAGTGACTTGTTTCTTTCATCCATGTCTCTCAGCTGTCACCCCATGTCTGGAGAGTGTGCCTGCAAGCCGGGCTGGTCAGGACTCTACTGTAATGAAACATGCTCTCCTGGATTCTATGGGGAAGCTTGCCAGCAGATCTGCAGCTGCCAAAATGGGGCAGACTGTGACAGTGTGACTGGAAAGTGCACCTGTGCCCCAGGATTCAAAGTGAGTGACTAGGGCTCTGGAGGAAGAAGAGGGGAGCAATGTGAAGTATCTCACATCGTGATTTATATGACCTTTGGTGAAATACAGTGAATATGCTAAAGTCATCCACATCATTGAGAGAGAGAAAATGAGGAGAAAAATACTAATAGAGATATAAGGAATTACCTTAGTATGATGACCGGGAAAGCTGGTAAAACGATAAATGTGGCATCAATTTTTAATATATATATGTCAGAAAGTATAAAATACTATAATATTCCTTAAGCAATTTATTATATTGTGTTTTATAGGTGACAAAGAAGTTACTTTTCCAAGTAGATTACTGTTATTGTTGACAGCTCTTATTTCTAATTCCATGAAATTTGAAGACACATTGATTTAGCGTTTATAATGTATTTACATTCTGTAGTTAGCAGTACATAAGTTTTTAGGTCCCTTTGAAAATCCAGACCCTATAAATATGCCTATATGCTAATAGAGCAGAATTTTTCTTACAGCTTCTAAGATTTAATAGTGATAGGCTAGGAATCTTTGCTTTAAAGAAGAATGTGTTGTTCTGGAGCTCTTCCTTCCCATTTTAAAGAGAAAATTGAAATATGAAGAATGTTGATGATTATTCCAGAGCACATAATGTAGAACTGGTGGATCATAAAGTCACAGAGCTGCGAGGATCTTTATAGGGTTTTATAACCTATGTCATAACCCTTTGGTTCAGCCCTTGAATTAACTTTATCTTAATAGTCCCTTCTGTTTTGAAAGGAGCTGACCTCCAGTCGCCTTTGATAGCCTAATTCTATGTTTAATGCTCCCTGTCGGATAAAGTGAATCATGTTGCTGGCTGAATGTGTTTTGTTGCTTTGCTTTACCCACTAAAAATATTACATATTATATAAGGATGTCTCAGAAGGGTTGAGATCAAATGTATGGTTCATATTGGTGTTTATTTATTGAACGGAATTTTATAGATACAGCCTATTTTTATATATCTACTTGTCTGAGCAAGGACAAAGGATTTTTATTGCTGTTTTGTTTTAGTTCTGCTATGAAGGCCAAACTAATGTAGGTGCAAGCTTTTCTGGATCCCATTTAATAATATATCCTAAACATAGACCAGCTAGTATTGTCCTTAAATTTCTAAAATGTGTATAGTGGTGACATTATAACAAATTTAAAAATATATGGTGTGTTAAAATTATAGAGGAAGTATAATTAGCATTGCCCAGGTATATTTTTGTTTATTTGTGTTGGCCTTATTTCAGCTGGCAAAATTGATCGCATTTTACTACTTGTGCCTGTCTAGGGAATTGACTGCTCTACCCCATGCCCTCTGGGAACCTACGGGATAAACTGTTCCTCTCGCTGTGGCTGTAAAAATGATGCAGTCTGCTCTCCTGTAGATGGGTCTTGTACTTGCAGGGCAGGTAAGAATGGGTAAATAAGTCTTTAATTTGATCCTGGTCACGCTATCTCCTAAAGACACAAAAGAAAGAAACCTTAACTGGGGTTCTGGCTCCAGTTGCACCAAAATTCGGTGTCTGCCTTCTACAAGCCCCTCATCTCCTGTGGCCTGGAATGCTTTTCTGAATCAAGGGAAGAGGCTCACATTAGATGATCTCTGAAGTCACTGCCAACTCCAAAAGTCTGTGAGTCTGTGCACTTTTAGGAAGAGTAAACAAGCAGACATGTGTTCATGCTTCTAAATTGTCTGGCTTGGAGTCATGACAAGAAACGCAGCCAAGCACCAATTTTATATGAGTACCAGAACGTGTTCATCCTCCAGGATCCCGGATACACTCTGTAGCTGGTTAATGGGGTTCTGCCTTAAAGATGGCGTTGTGTTTTCAAGCAGAATCTTTCATCTCCCTTCCATCTAAATATTTCACTTTCCTGATCTGACCAAAACTTAGGATTCCACAGTGTGCATCACTGCTCATTAAAGGTGCTCTGACTCTATATCTCTTCCTCAGTAGCCTACTAGTATTTCACAGTGTTGGCATCCTTAACAGATCACACAGCACACATGGCTCTTTGGGTCCTCAGGGGTGCCTTTTGTTCATTTCTGATGGAGGCCTAACTTGGCAGAACCCATGCTGTCTGCTGCTGTGGCTGGGGCTGGAAGGCACGGTTGTGCATCTCCAAGGTGTTTCTAAAGAGAAATGTGGCTTGGACTGGCTCAGCAAGGCTCCCTGCTACCTTCATTGGCTCACTTGCTGTGGCATTCTTGTTGCACAGGATGGCACGGGGTGGACTGCTCCATCAGATGTCCCAGTGGCACATGGGGCTTTGGCTGTAACTTAACATGCCAGTGCCTCAACGGGGGAGCCTGCAACACCCTGGACGGGACCTGCACGTGTGCACCTGGGTGGCGTGGGAAGAAATGCGAACTTCACTGCCAGGTATGCACGAATCAGTGCCCTGATGGAAAATGCCTGCGAGGAGTTGATGCCATAAAGTTGGCTTCTTTTTGCAGTTTTCCTGTTAAAGCGGCTCAGTGTGTACCAGACTTTGGTAACTATTGGAAGAATCGAGGTGTTTGGATTCAAACTGGATGTAGGATTGGAAAAGGGATAGACATGGAAACTGGTTAGATAGGCTCTGTGAGAATTTCTTCCTTCTTTTCCTTCCTCTTACTCAGTTTCCTCAAGCCCCACCCTTTATTTTCTGTTTCTTAAACACCCATCTCTTGGTGGCAGCCAGTGAACAGCACTGGTCAAACACTCAGTGTATGCCTGTCAACTCTCCAAATATTTTGTTTCCATTATCATGGAAATCCCCCTGCCTTTAGGGTGGAAAATAGGGAGTTGAAAGGAGAGGTGATTGATGTCACAGAAATGCTCACGGAAGTGTTGAAAGAAGGTTTGGAAACAGCATCTTTTAACATAAGTATCTCTGGTACCATAAGAATCTCCTTAAGATGTCTCTATAGCTCACTCTATTCCCTTGACCTACTTTGGAGATACATGTCATTAGAAATCTCATACTGCATCTACTTCAGGCTGTCAGGGAGTGCAAATGGGAAGTGCATTCTGGAGTAAGCTGCTGATAGTTATTTTCCATCACTCTCTCTTCCTATGGCAATTCTTTTCTCCTGAGCCATTAGGCATTCTCTCTGTGGTGTGTGTTCTCTGCCTCCAGGACATCCTTTGATGGCAAGATAACAGTGCAATCCCCTGAACTGGGCCCCTCGAGAAGGGCCTTCCACAATGCTCTTCTCTCTCTGGGCTTCCTCCTCATTAAGTACAATCCACTTCCCAAAGTAGAGAGGATTCCACTCATGGATATTCCATGCCTTCAAACCCCTAGGACAGAGTTGTCAGCTTTGCTGCCTCTCATCAGACTAGTGAACAAATTAATCAGTACTTGGAGAGGAGCTTGAGGTCACTTTTTACTGCCTATCTGATTGTAGACAAAGCAAAACCCCTGGCACAATCTCTTTTCATACCTTAGAGGAGTTAGTCCATCAATGAAGGCTGAGGGTTTAGTGGTTCATATCATGACAAAGCTAAATCCTGCGCAGCTCTATCAAACATTGGTGGGGCCTAAAAAGTGATTTTCTTTTTCTTATTTTAACAAGTTCTGGGCAAATAATTATTCATCTGGCACCCGCTACCTGTCTATGCTGGTGCCAATGTTCCTCCTCCATTGTAACTCTGCACCCTGTTTTTCTTAGTGCTTGGGTGGTGCTGGGGAGGCCTGTAGTGCCTCCCTCAATTTTCAGAATCTGGGGTGAAACAGCTGAACTTTCCATCCTTTCCCCACAAGCAAAACGATCATGTCCCTGAAGAGTCTTGTCTCCGTCAGACTATCCACACTGATGTATGTGCATGTGAAAATATAAAAGATCTGGAAGAGGATAAGTGAGAGGTGTGTCGACTCATACCTAGGATTGTGAGTCAGAATACTTTGTGTGGCTTAGACTTCTTCCTGAAAAGCAGGATAATAATTCGAAAAAAGTAACAAAAGATCTTTATTTTTCTTGATAGTACCATGTATCTCATTGGCAACTTATGGCAATGAACTTAATTCAATTAAAACTATAATTTTTTAAATTAGTTTATGATTAAAAAATTTTAAATTATAAAATTATAGTTTTAAAACTATAATTTTAGAGCATTTTGTGTTGGTCAGGGTCATTTTTGTGTGGGTCATTCTCTCTTTTCACTAAAGAAATATGTTATAGGGGACACTGATCTATTTTGTAAAAACCTTTAGGAACAAAAGAAAATATTTTTATAAGTTGTAGCTTATAGGATACACTTCTTTTAAATACTTGGCGTTTTTACATATATTTGCATATATAGATACCAGTATGTTGACATGATTGGCTTCACCATTTATGTGTTTCAACTGTTGTGTCAGGCATAAACAGGGGTTTGAGTAACTTTAAAACCCTGACTTCCTGGAGCCGATATTCTGGGGACTAAGAAAATGTAGAAAGCGGTGATTAAGATGCATCCCTCTAAGGAGTGTTTGGGACAGCAGGGTACTATATGTGAAATGGCCTTTTCCTCTCCTGTCATGGAATTTCCCAGGCCCTCATTGCTACCTTTGATGCTGTCTTCCATGCAGGATGGCACGTATGGGCTGAACTGTGCTGAGCGCTGTGACTGCAGCCACGCCGATGGCTGCCACCCTACCACAGGCCATTGCCGCTGCCTCCCTGGATGGTCAGGTGAGCGCCAAGCTCCGCTAATTGAAAGGTGAAACCCACCAACTTAACACCTAGTGCTGTTCCTTGTTATTTCACAGAAACACACACAAGTCAACTTTTCCAAAAAAATGAAAATTCGATAAAGTTTCCAGTAAACTGAAACCTTTAATCTACAATCCAGGGATGATGTTTTCTTGATTTGTGCAGGGGCAGTTCTCTTGACCTTACACATAAGGTCCAACTGTCAAAATTCAGGCCAGCAAGACGGGGAAAATGTGAATTGTTCTGAAGAGTTCAGCAAGACCACTGTGGGGTATTTTGAGCACTGAGGAAAGAATGATTGAAATAAACCTTAGAAATAAACAAGGGTCACCTTAGTGAGGCAAAAAAAAAAAATACTCGTATTAATATGGCAAATATGCATATGCATTTTATTATATGGTTAATATGTAAATATTAAAATGTTCATTGCTAAAAGTAAAAGTTTTAAAACTTTCTTTTTCTTATGATAATGTTTGGGTCACAACAAATCCATAGTATGATTGAGTATAAATTCTCTAACCACAGGGTAGGAGTTTCTCCTTATTTATATGGCTTCATGGTTTTAGCCGGGAAGTTTGTCAAGCTAAAAATGGTCCTGAAAGAAGAAGAAGTTTTTGTTCATGGTATGCAGACTTGCTAAGATATTTAGTGCTATCTTCCAAATATCATGAGCAAAAACATTGTTCTTCTTCTAGGATGACTTTACATTCCCACCAGTAATGTATGAGGGTTCCATTTTATTCATATCCTCACCAACACTTGTTATTATCTGACTTTCTGATTCTAGCCATCCTAGTCAGTGTTTGGTGGTGTATCATTGTGGTTTTGCTTTCCATTTCCATGATGGCTAATGAGCTACCCACAGACACAAGGCCTCCCTAACCCTGTAGCTCTATCTTGACTTGCAAAACCTGAGATAACTCTGACTTCACAATAGGAAATTCTGCCTTTCAATGTTTCTGCTTGGCTCTTCATCCCCAAATGTGAAAACTACATCACACTAGGGATTGAACCAGATTTTGTGACTTTACTAGGGTTCTTGAAGTTCTCAAATGGAGTGATTAATACTAATTTCTCAATGACCACGGCGAAGCAAAATAACATTTTTAACCTTCTTGCAAATTCCGAACTTTCCTAACAGAGGGAACCACATCATTTGTTTTGTACAACACTCCACCAAATCTACTTTTGTCTTATGAATGTAGAAAGGATGTGAGATGTTCCTGAACACACCAGTCACTGCTCAAGTGTCCACCTGCTTTGATGATTTAGAACCAGCCTGTGAAAGGCACATTCTAGTGTACACGAGAAGAGCAAGAGATGTGATCTGGCCTGAGGCCAGCCGGAAAATGTGTTCGTTGCATTCCACAGTCTGGGTCATGGGGTAAGACAAATTATGCCATCTGGCCTTAGACCTATCAAGCTCCTACGGGAATGCAGTGGCTTTGTCACACAATGTAATCTTGTAATCCTCTGTCCATCTGTGACCGGCCTGCTTCTCTAAAAGGGAAGACCACTGCTTCATGTTGCTCTATTGCTTGTTGCCCACCATCTCTGCCTCATGGCCTGTCAGTCATGATTGCTCCTAGGCCAGCTAAGTTGCCCCAGTGTCTCATTTCTGGGTCTTCTGTGCGGGCTGTTGGTCTGTGAGCATCTGTCGGTATCAAAGCCTGCTATGAGGTCATCCCCCACACTTACAGAATACATATTGTACACAGAAACATATGTAGAGGAAAAGAGAATTACTGAAATTCCAAAAGACACCTACAATTGGACCAAAAAACAATTGGTTTAGTTTTTTAAAGGAAAGAGCAACTTCTGTATAGTATTTGCAAAGGACATCATTTCATTGTCTGCACTGGACAGACTAATAAGTTTTTACCCATAAAATTATTTTGGGTTAGTACCTTGTAAGGACATTTCTGAATGTGAAGAAGGTTTTACTTTTCATTTAGATACCAGGTTTAAGGCTGAAAAGTAAATATAATCCCAGGGAAGCAAGTAATTCTATTTCCTCTCATCCCTGTTGCTGAGATTACTGTAGGTGAAATATTAAGTATCCCTGGACAGGGCAGCAGTATGTAGGGCAGGCAGTTTGTGTGTAGTGAAGCTTTTATGAATAAATCTGTGAAATCTGACACAGAACAGAGGGCTCTTCCCCTGACCAAATCAACAAGATGGCCTTAAGTCCTCCGTCAACTGTGGACATTGTGGTCAGGTAAATTTGGAGCCAGAGGTAATGGTCAGGAGGGCCTTGTTCCTCTTTACAAAGGAATTGACATGACTAGATTGAGGAAGTCTCACCCTAAGGTGACATGCCAAGGAAGTTGGCTTGATGTCTTATCATGTACCACATCCACCATTTCTTATAACTACAACCCACTATGTAGTATTTGACTGTCTAGGCTCTCAAAGGAACTGAGGCTTTTTTATTTCTGTTGTAATTGATAGTTCTTTTTCACCCAGTCATAAAATAAGTCCTCAAAATATACTGCTATGAAAAGTAACCAAAATAAAAGTTGCATCTGACATTTTAGATCCTATTTCCAAAATAAATATACCATTTTTTCCAAAAGAAAAGGCATGCACTTTTATTGTAGCATGTGATTATTTAAAACCTTAATTTGTTGTCATTTTTAGTCAATAGACTATTTTACCAATAAGAGGCAGGTTGCAGTAGAAGAATGGGGGACAATGAGATACACTCAGGATTTAGGTTGTGTTGTTTGCTGCTGGTCCTACACCTCTGGCACACAGACACACGCACACGCGCAACACCCACCCACACTGAAATTTCAGATGTCAATGAAATATAATTATGAGTGTGTGTGTGTGTGTACACATGTATGTATATTTCCAGAGTAGTGGAATGATGTGCTTTATATAGTATTTTGCCAAAATTACAGAAACAGACAGAAGTTTATGTCTTCTTTTCTGCTCTGACTTCAGTCAGCCAGAACACCCATTTGCTGAGCATTACAGCTAATCAAGATTGCATTCCAACTGACTGGGAACATGTGCGGTCTCCAGCCTCCTTCCCAGCCCTGGCTAAGATCACTATCACCTGGGAACTCTTTGAACATGCATATTCCCAGTCCCCACCTCACACCTACTAAATGAGAATTTGGAAAGTGGCTGAGAAGGAGAAAGAGTATGGAGCCTCTGCCCATCCCTAAAGCACCTTTGACACAAATTTGGAAACAATTTGGAAATCCCTCAGGAGGTACTCCTTGGCACATGAAGTGCAAGCAGGATTTCTGCCCCAACTTAGCTCCTTGGCCAGGGGCTCTTGCATAGCGCACAACTTGCAAAACCTGACTTGGTGGCCCTATCTGCCCTGGTGGCCCAGGCAGGCAGTGGCAGTTACTGGTCTGCATAGCGGCTTCTGCTGTATTTTAGTTATTGAAGAGCTTCGGATCTGGGGCCCATTTCTTTGACAGAAACCACATAATCAGTGGAAAATGAGAAGAGGAGGTTTAAGGATGTGTTTATACTAGAATAAGAAAGTTAAAGGCTAAACAGATAAAGAGAATAGGACACCCAATCAAATTCTAGGGGTCTTGAGAAAGAGAGATGAGATTAGCAAGGCATGGTGTAATTGTAAGGGGATGGGAAAGGAGAAAAAGAGGAGAGGTCGGGGGGCTCATCTGAGGCCAGCCAGGAAGGGTGGAATTGGAGGGAGGAGCCCTGTGGGCAAGTTGATGAGAAGAGCCCATTTCTCCACTCTTCCCAGCAAGCAGAGCTAGGCCTACAGTGGCCTCAGCCTCTCTCCATAAAGAAAGCTCTCCTTTCCATGTTTTCCCAAACACAAAGGTTGACCAGCTGAGTGAGTGAACTGCTCCTTCAGGGACTGATCTGTCCCAAAGTGATGTCTTATGCAGCTAAGGGATGCCCAAATTATTAAAATAAGGGGAGACCTACCTTACTTTGTCCAGTGACATGTAAGTGCAAATCCTAGTTGGAGGTAATAACTTTAGTCAAAGAGTTTAATTAACATGTCTGCACCCAATCAGCCACAAGTACAAATGACTCACCATCTGACCCTTTTGGGTATTGAGGGGTGGAGAGTGTGTCTGCAGGTTCATATGTATCTGTCTGTCTGTTTGGTCTTGAGGGAGGGGATCATATAAAAGCAGAAACCTGGCCCCCTGACCTGAGGGTGGAGGGAGGTGCTCATTTCCCCCGACCCCCCTGCCAAAAAAAAGGCTATAGAAAAAGCCAAAACTCCAAGATCTGCCTAGCAATCCTTTCTGCTTGCTTTTATCTGAGTCCAAGGCAGGCCATGGTCTTTGGTAATTTTTTTTTTTTTTTGTCTTGCAACTGCAAAGACAAACATCTCTGATTTATATGACTTATCAGGACTTTTTTCAACTTGGTTGATCTATATAAAGCAGATTCTTTTTTACTGATCTTTAAAATCTGTAGTATCCAAATAGAAAGATTTGGTTTAACAGCCATTTGTTGAGTGTCTCCAAGTTCTCTGTAACCGTAATGCTTGGGTGCTGGAACCCAACCCATGCTTGGAGATGAATGATGCCAACTCCCATCCTGCAGAAGCTCACATTGCATCAGGACAGCCACTCTGTCGACAGAGATGGATATACCAGTGAATAACTTCTCTATACTACACCACACTACACTATGCCACTGCTTTGTTGGTCAAAGGATTAGAAAAGCAGAAAAAGTGTTGTGACTAAATACTGTAGTTCCTCCATCTTATAATTACCAAGCCCAATTATTATTAACAAATATCTCGCTTTTTTCTAATATATGTTTAATAGCTCGTTGCCCAGGAACAAGACATTGAATCAAAATCATTTCCTTCATTCACTAACGCTCCAAATATTGGAATACTGGCATAAGGAATATCAGCAATTAAGTAAGACAAGGATTTGGGGTTACATCTATGAGAGGGGAAAGAATGACACCCCAGATGATTTATTTACTGCATTCATGCAATCACAAATGCCCAGTGAATGCTGATTTCACATTGAGGGTGCTGGCATAATGCATCAGGCATTAATTGCACGAACATTTCTTTAGAGCTGCTTAGCTGAAGTTTATCATGATCATTCAGCCATTGCCTAGCAACTTGTGAAGGCTATCAAAGAGCTCTTTGTCCTCAGTCCTGGCAAAAACAGTCCCTTACAAATCTCCTTATCAGCATTAGAACATTTATCAGAAAAAAATGCTCCCATTGAACCAGAGATGGCTGCAGATTTAAATCTATCTCTTTCCCATTTTCCCTCTTTTTCCCAATATTTTAGGAAGTTATTTCCTGTAATATTAAAGTTTTAATCTGTTTTTTGCTAAAACTTCCAAAGAAATTTCCTTAAGATGTCACATAATTCTTTCATGGCCTAATAATCTGGGCTTACATTTAAAAACACAGACCTGAGTCCCCAAACATATATCTGCTCAAAAATAAACAAGGCAGACATCTCCACCCACTTAGCAGGGAAGGGTCCCCATTTTTGGTGCACAAACTATGAATATCTTGGGCTTCCTGGTTTGAGTGAAGACTTATTTGGGGAAGCAAAGAATGACGTGGTTGCTTCATCCGTTGGAAAGTGGTCCTGAATATCACGTAGGAAAGAGAAACTATGCTTATCAATTTATTCAACAAATATTTATTTAATACCTCCCATGTACTAGGTGCCATGGTGTGCAAAAACAGGCAATGTCTCTCCCTCAGGGAGCTGCCGAAATTAATGACCTTTGGTGGAGTACTGGAGGGGAGTCTGCATGTGGATTTTCTTCTATAACTCTCCAGAATTCATCTTCCCCTGCGTCTCAGCTAACGTTGACTTAGTTTTATGCCTTGTCACTTTAATCATTTATTTTACTTGAGGAACCCCAAATGGGGTTTCCCCAGGTAAAAGAGCACCTGACAGGTTTTCTTTCTTCCCAGGCGCAACATGTTCTGCCCTCTGCTAAAGCACAAATCTGGTTATGCCCCTTCCTTCTTAAAATTGTTCATTTGGTCCCTGTTAACACCAGGGGGAGGTTTACACTCCATAGCATGGCGCTCTTGGCTCAACTCAAAGTGGCCACTGTTTGGCTGCCCAGATGTCTCACCTGCTCTCCTCAGCCCCTGAGTTTCAGCTGTACCCAACACTTGGAATTCCCGAAGGAAAGACACTTCTTCCGGCCTCTGAGTCTTGAGTCTTGCAGCCACTGTTCCTTTAGCCTGCAGTCCTCTTCCCGCTTCATAAGCCACCTCCTTTCCTGATCATGATCCCAGGCAGAGAAGGGTGTTCCTGTTCTGTGGTCATTATCACCTTGGAGTTGCTTTTTTTTTTTTTTTTTTTTTTTTTTTTTTTTTGAGAAAGTCTTGCTCTGTTGCCAGGAGCCAGGCTGGGGTTCAGCGTCTCCATCTCAGCTCACTGCAGCCTCTACCTTCTGGGTTCAAGCAATTCTCCTGCATCAGCCTCCCGAGGCGCACACCACCATGCCCAGCTAATTTTTGTATTTTAGTAGAGATGGGGTTTCACTATGTTGGCAAGGATGGTCTGGATCTCTTGACCTTGTGGTCTGCCCGTTTCGGCCTCTCAAGGTGCTGAGATTACAGGCGTGAGCCACCGCGCCCGGCCGGAGTTACATTTTTAAGAAGACTTCTCACCAGCAAGCCAGTAGTTGTCCAGATCCCTTGAATGTTTGTCGAGTTGGGTTTCCTTTTGTGCCTTTGACAAACAAGGAAACAAAAAGATGTCTTACAGGACTCAAGCAAAGCTGGCAAAAAAAAAAAAAAAAAAAAAAAAAAAGGAGATAAACATAAATAATACACACATACACACACAGAGCCAGAAATCATGGTTAAAGCAAAACTTACAACTCTTCATCCTGGAGAATGTTTCATTGCAGGGTTATCCTTACGTGGAAATCTTCCGCAGTTACATATATAAGGTGCAACTTAGAGAAACGCCTACCCAACACTCTCTTTGTGGTACTGCTTAAAATTCCACAATTAGAATATTTATTTCTTAGGCTCTTAGAATGTGTGCGCTCTTAAAATATCAATATTCTCCAGAGAAGGTATGACTCAGCAATAATAAATGTATCTTGTCTATTTCTGACTGTAAGATGAAGGGAAAAATAACCAGGAGGGCACAGAGGACCAGAAGGAGAGAAGCAGCAGTAGGAAAAGAGGGTGCAGCGAGAGGAGGAAAGACAACTCCATACCGTTTCCTGGAATTGTCCCCTAACTGAGACATACTTGATATTTATCTTCACATAGATCAGGCATCTCTGCAAAATGCTGACTCATTTTTTACTGATGATAGAGTAAAATAAAAGGGCTTGAATTTTAAGAGAGGGTTGGTAATAGAATTTTTATCATTTATATTCAAAGGATAGATTTTCTTGCAATCCTACAAGAAAAGTTATTCTCAAGTAAGCTTGGGTCTGTTGAAAGATGCTTATATGATTGGATACAGAAGGTTTAATCAATAATATATAGAATTTTGCTATAATTCTCTGGACATGAAATAATGGGTAAATCATGTGAAACAAGCTTATCTCTGCAGCGGATCTTCTTGATATAGGTTGGGCCTTGTTACTTATAAGAGCATTACGGGGATATAGTTGATTATGACTGATGGCTAGGCTAATCAGCTGAACAAACCTCTTAAAGAAAGAGGAATCAGTTATGAAAGAAAGGATCTGTTTATTCAGATTTGCCTAACTGGCCTGTAGTCATTTTTCTTAACATGCTCTGATTGAGAATGTGCTAAGCTATACATAAATCATGATAACCTATAATATAAAAAAGTAGCATATACTTTTGACCTTAAGTGTACTCCCTTCTATCTTAACTGAATTTATTAAGTGTAATTTGAAGGAGTGATCTGGCAAGTAGTTGATGAACTGAGTCATCATAAATGGCAAAATCTTCCCTCTCCCCCAAGTCCCCACCATAACAAAAAAAAGCATAAAAAATCAGGACTAATATTTCAGGATGATGATCAGTCAGTTTAACCAGATAATTACTCAGCTTCCACTTCTTCAGACTGTTCATTGGGATTTGCCTTGATGGCTCAATGCCCTGGGTTGGTTGTCTGAGTTTCTGTAATAAGCAGGTGTCCCCATCTTGTCTGTTTTTTTTAAGCAGGAGTTTGGGCTCACAGTCAGCGTCTAGGACCTGAATTTGAACTGAGAGTGAAGTCTTCAGTAGGTTACCCTTGTTGGTACTTTCTTTTAAATTCACAAAACAAAGTTTAGGTTTGCAGCCTTGTTTTGAAGTGATTTACTGCTTAATATGCGTGATGCTTCTGCCCACTGTAGGTGTGGATAAAAATTCCAGGTAGGATTCTGTGGCTGATGTGTCACATTTTGGGAGGGCAGAGTGTGCAATTTCATCTCAGTTTTTCAAAAGAGATTTGAAAGGAAAAAAAAGGTAATATAGTCATGATTGCAAGAAAAAAACCAACATCTTAGGCCCAAATTTCATACTTTGTTCAATGGGAAACATTTAAGCCCCAACTGGATTTATGAACAGAGACCTGGTCTCCTTTCTTCAGCCCATGGTCCAAACTGAAATAAAAGTCTATTGTTGGTTCAAGCTAGACACAATGAGGTCTGCGGGCTTTCTTGCCTACTTAATGGCCTTTACCATGCCGGAGCCTTTCAGAAGGGAAAAAAAAAACAGGAGCAGTAAAAAGTGGAGAATTATTGTTCACCGGAAATGGCATACCAATTAGCAACATTCATGTTATAGTTTGGGATTGCTTCCACGTTAAGGTTGAGACTGTGGTAACTTTTTGCTTGATCATTTTAGAAGCCAAAATTATAACACAAGACATGACTATCTCAGCATCGTGGTGCTGGGTGATTGTTAGTATTCTGGAATCCTGGAGGGTGTGCATGCTTGCTCTTAATGTGTTTTCATTTGGTCTGAGGCCGGCAACCGCCAGTTCACTACTAATTATAACTTATTGCCTTTCAATGTGAAGAGGATTTCTTTGAGTCATGAGAAATTCTGGCAAGAAAGAGGCCCTTATTGTATTTCCAATACGAATATACAGAGGAGACTTTTGTTTATCTCAAATAAAACCTGGTTCTGGTTTTATTTTTGCAACCTTGGCTTTCCTTTATGTGTACTTTCGGCATTTGTTTATTAATTCTAGTTTCTCAATGTTTAAAATGAGAGTTAAACACCTGCATACAGTTTCATAATAATCCATAGCATAGACAACAGCTACAAATAATGTCGGTTGTGATATTCTGCCAATATCTCTCCAATGTAAAACTTGATTTTTCAGGAGGAATTTGGTGGCACATGTCAGTGCATCTTTCTGTTCTGCACAATGCACCAACAAGTTTTTTTAAAGATGTTTATTTGTTTAATCTAGGGGAGCGGTTTCTTTATGTAAAACATTTTATGTAACTACATTGCCTTATCCTTTTCTCTGTGAAAACAAAGAATGGGAGGAGGAGGAAGTCACTGAGGGCTAAAAGATATTGTATTTTTGATAAAGTTTACTTTTAATAGACAGAGCCCTTGGTCTTCTGCTTTGCTCCCTCATCCTGAAGAAGAAAAATCAATATAACAAAGGTGTGTTATTCCTTCTTCATGACTCCATAGAAAATCATTCTGGGTATTATTTTAACATTATGATCATACTGTGTATTGATATTTATAAGATAATAACTCTCATTGCTGCTCTTGATCCTCAGGTTTAATACTGTGACCTTAGTCCTCATCTTGGAATTAGCATCTGCAGAAGCTCCACACTGCCTCTCACTCAGCCTTGCCCCGTGTACATTGTTTCAGGTGTCCACTGTGATAGCGTGTGTGCTGAGGGACGCTGGGGCCCCAACTGCTCCCTGCCCTGCTACTGTAAAAATGGGGCTTCGTGCTCCCCCGACGATGGCATCTGCGAGTGTGCACCAGGCTTCCGAGGCACCACTTGTCAGAGGAGTAAGTGTCTCATTAGGCAGTAAGTTCCACCTTCCCTTCCCTGGGCACCATGTACAGAATAATGATCTCTGTTCCACCTTTAAGTTTATAGTGATGTCCTGTTGGACTTGAAGGCAGAAGAGAGTGTAATATTCACTTGTCCTTTGCAGAACTACTTGAAAGCACTTCTCTAAGAGCTTCATTCTTTCCAGCCTTCAGAACTAACCTAATAGATGGGGATTTAACCATTTCTTCTGGGTAATTACTTCATTGCCTCATTGGCACCACCATCAGGATATATTCCTTCATCCTTCCCGAAAGCTTGCAAATGGTGTTCTAGAAATTCATTGACCTGTAAATATTTTATTCAGCAATTTGGCATTGGCCTTACCTCAATTACCAGACGTCAACATCAGCCAAACCTTGAGGCAAATCATTTATCCTGCTAGTAGTCTTAAAATCAGTGCTATGGGGAAAATGCAATTGCAAAGTTTAAAAAGGAGGCTGTTGACATTGGTTCTCAAGACTTTTAAGTTAGAGAAGGATCAATAAGATTTTACTAAATCTTTAGGTAATTGCAATCAAAAAAAGAATATGTCACTAATTATGTTACACTATTCTAATTTCCTTTTTCCCCATAAGAATTCTGTGCAGTTATCCTATATTTAAGTCTGAATGATATCTTGGCAAGAACCTAAGTATGTAGCATTTTGCTTAAACACTTTCGATGACAGTCATTAACCTGGACCATTTTGAGGAGGCAAAATCTTCAAATTTTGACTGTCGATCTATTTATTGCCAGTTAACGACTCGTAAAGAATAAAAGATTAACAAATGGTTTGATTATTTGAGACTCATTAGTATTTCACAATTTTTTTAATCTCTTTATTTATTCAATGAAAATTCCTTGAGCCCCTGCTTTACGCCAAGCCTTGAGCTAACTGGGGTCTTAAATGGGAAAATAAAGAAGAATAAGACATTGACTTCCCTCAAGAAATTCAGAGTTCAGTGGCTTCTTTTCCTCATTAAAGCGTTCCTTTGTTCTTTCATTGTTCCTGTTTTCTACGTGGAAAATTCTTAGTATCTTTTTTACTTTTCTTTAAGATTTTGTTTTTTAACCTGTAAAACTTTAACTAGATCCCCATGTGGAATGCGAGAGAAAGATAACTGCATCTCAGAAAGATAACTGCTGATTTCCCTTCTATTTTCAGTCTGCTCCCCCGGTTTTTATGGGCATCGCTGCAGCCAGACATGTCCACAGTGTGTTCACAGCAGTGGGCCCTGCCACCACATCACCGGCCTGTGTGACTGCTTGCCTGGCTTCACAGGCGCCCTCTGCAATGAAGGTAAGGCACGAAGCATCTGGGACGGCTGGGTGGTGATGAGTGCCCCGGAGAGTCAGTCCTCAGGCTTCCCCTTGGTCTTCCTGAAGGCCATGTTTTCAGCTCTCTGCTAGGAATACCTTCTTTGGTGCTGTATCTGCAGCTTCTCAGATAGGACTTTGAGCTTTGGAAAAGCTGGTTTTCCTCTCCAGCAAAACCTTTTTATTCCCTGAGTTGTGCTACTCTGCAGTTTTAGCTGGACATGCTCTCCCATGAAAAATCAATATGAGGAAGGATTTCGACTCCCAGGGCAAGAAGTCTTGAAGTCAGATTTCTAGAAGTGCAATGACGTCTCCCGGTTTGTGACTGCCTACATGAGAGTCTTTGGCTTCATGGATTTGTGAAAATGAGCCCATTCAGGATGAGGGAAGCTGTTGAGCAGAGACAGCTACCAAATGAGCAGCTGGGCCTGTGACCTTTAAAGTCATTTCCTGTGCTAAGATTCTAAGATTCTGTGAGGCCGGTTGTGATTGTGAGTTACTGACGCTATAGCTTATTCGCAGTGTGTCCCAGTGGCAGATTTGGGAAAAACTGTGCAGGAATTTGTACCTGCACCAACAATGGAACCTGTAACCCCATTGACAGATCGTGTCAGTGTTACCCGGGTTGGATCGGCAGTGACTGCTCTCAGCGTAAGTCTTGTTTGGGAACAATTAATCAATCATTTTTTTTTTCAGATTCTTTAGGATTGAAGTATGAGTGTTTTTATATAATCAAGAAAGAATATATGACTAACTATAAAACACATTCTACATATGCTTTTTTTTTTTTTCCATTAAGAGCTTTATGCAATGGTCCTATATTTAAATCCAAATAATGTCTTGGAAAGAGCCTAAATATGTAACATTTTGCTTATCCACTTTTCAGCGATTCATCATCCATTGAAATAAATACAGAGAAAGAAAGAAATGGAGTTAAATGACGTGAGCCTTAGAAACCTATTGGGATCCTGAGTGGACTGCCCACCTAATATGCTTACCTTCACCTTGGCTTCTCCCAAGTGCCTTCCACATCACTGGATTTCAGACAGGAGTTGTGTGACTCTATAAGGGACTATATAGATGACTCTTAGAGTATGCATGTCATGAAAAAAATGACATTGACTATAAGTCATTCATGAATGTTTTGAAAGGGTCAGTGCAACTTCTAAAAGTATTCAACTTTTGACCAAGGAATAGCATATGTATGGGGTAATCTGGTTTCCTTCATTACAAATTTTATGAAACACTCTCAGTTCATATTGAGTTCCTCCATGATGCACACAGAGAAATGAAAGAATGACTGTGTCCAGTTATTTTACATGGTGCTTTATTGATGATTTAATTCAAACTTCACAGTTACAATCAACCTGCACATATTAATTGATAAGCAATATGTTTTTTGCTGGAAGATTTTTTTCTGAATGTTAATTTTTTCCATAAGTAGCCCAGGCTGTACCCCATTTTTAGGAATAAGGGAGCAGAGCTAATAAATCTCAGAAGTTTAGCTCTTTAGTAAAAGAAGTGTTATTTAATATGTGTTCACTCCATTCTGTTGGCATCACTTGAGAAGAAATCAGTCTGTTTAACTCTACATGTGTTGCAAGGGCTCTGACTAATGGTTGGGCATATGGACAGATTGATAAAAACGTACTGAAAAACAGGATTTGAGAAGAGTAAAAGATCCAATATCGTTGTCATAAAATGATTGATTTATATTGTTCCTTTAAAAAGTAGTCTTTATTTTGGAAGTTCTTCCCTTACTCATTTCGAGGAGGAATGTGCTGAAAGGAACAGAAATAGAAACACAACTGTGAATGGAGACTATAGTGTTGCCTCCCCCCTTAATCACTCCACAGGAAGCTGATTTATTTGGCAAGAGCCTTTGCTTCTCCTGGGGATCATTGATTTCATTGATTCCCTTATGGACTCTACAGAATCATCTTAATATTTCTTCTTGGCTGACTGTGAGCCTGTCTAAAGAGAGCAAAGCCCTTCCTGGTGAAAACAGACTTTGAAAACTTAAAGGCGTACATTTAAAGGGCAGGTGTTCTTGGGAAAATGATTTTTTTAAATCCCTGTCTCTACATTTACCTTTTAGGAATATTAAGTTGAATAATCCTTATTCCCATTCTATGATCATAACAAATATAGGGAGGACAGCCTAATGGCAGTGGGTTACTTCAGAAAAATATATCATAGACATAAATGGATTTACAAAAGCTGGTTAAGTATCATCTAAGGAATGGGTTGTTTTAGGTAAAGAGTGCTTCACTGAGCATCAGATGGGCTAGACACTTCGATAGTTTTCACCGAGTCTTGCTGTGGCTTTAAAAGAGAGAAGCTGGTTTTGTTTGACAAATAACAATATTATTATTAATCTGTTTGACCTTGTTTGAGTCACTATTAACATTTTGTGGGCCTCAGTTTCTTCATCTGTAAAATGAGGGTGTTGTACTTAGAAAATTTGTTCTAATCTTCACTCGAGACCTCAAGTGTCACCTGGTATTTTCCTCTTGCTCTTAGACAAAAATGGTGCACACAATTATGGAAGAATTTTTTTCATTTTAAAATTATTTCATATGTATTATGGATTGTCTTTATTGGTCCACATTCCCTACTGGATAGCCATATAGGCGGTCCTCCTTTTATGCAATTATGTTCCTGAAGTATTAATATAAATAAAAAGTATGTTTTGTCAATGAAATTATTTTACTCCATGATCTTATGTTATTATTTCACAGATACTTTATCTGATTTTCTGATGGCCCTTTAATCGGCAGTGACCCCTAATGATTTAGTTGTATTATTTTCTGCATCTTCCAATTAAGAGTTTTTACAAGTAAACCAATTTTTACATGCCACTGGGAACCTCTCTCTCTCTCTCTCTCTCTCTCTCTCTCTATATATATATATATATATATATATATATATATATATATATATGTTTTTGGTTTTTTTTGAGATGGAGTTTTGCTCTTATTGCCCAGGCTGGAGTGCAGTGGCACAATCTTGGCTCACTGCAACCTCTACCTCCCAGGTTCAAGCAATTCTCCTGCCTCAGCCTCCCAAGTAGCTGGGATTACAGGCATGCACTGCCACACCTGGCTCATTTAGTATTTATTAAAAATGGGCTTTCTCCATGCTGGTCAGGCTTGTCTTGAATTCCCAACCTCAGGTGATCCACCTGCCTCATCCTCCCAAAGTGCTGGGATTACAGGTGTGAGCCATCGCACCCAGTCGGAACCTCAGTATTTAACAGGAGCCTAAAGTGTCAAGTCTAGAGTAGACTGAAGAGTACAGGATTTAGAATTTGTAAGCATGAGCTATATGGCCTTGGGTCCTTTAACCTCTCTTGAGTAAAGTCATTTTCCACACCTTATCTCTGCTCCAGTGTCCTCTCCTCAGACAGGCCTTCCTTAAAGGAGTAGCTCCCAAAATGATCGTCTTCCTTATCTTCCTTATTTTTTTTAAGAGTACTTGCCACCACCGATTTTTCATTTTCCTGGTTGGTTGGTTTGCCTGCCTCTGCTACCAAAATATAAGCTTCCAGAGGATGGTTTGGACTTTGTCTTATCCTCTGCTATCTCCTTTGTGCCTGGAACAGTGTTGGGTACATAATAGGTGCTGAATGAGTGTTTGTTTAGTAACTGAATCTGTAAACTTGAGGTGATTTTGTCTGAGCCACCTCAGTCTGCAGTTGTAAATGATTATGTATGTCAGTAATGACAGTCGTTGCTGTTGAGCTCAGAGGCCATCTGGGATTTAGTGCAGAATTCAGAGCAGCATGCTTTCTTAGTTCTGATGTACACTGCTAACCTCTGCCGTGCAGGGAGATCTGTAGGGTTGGATGGAATTTCCCTTCTTGGTATTGGCCTCAGAACTCTCATGGACCTCTCCACACCTGTAATTTCAGCATGTCCACCTGCCCACTGGGGCCCAAACTGCATCCACACGTGCAATTGCCACAATGGAGCTTTCTGCAGCGCCTACGATGGGGAATGTAAATGCACTCCTGGCTGGACGGGGCTCTACTGCACTCAGAGTAAGTGACAAGCCTTCTGAGGCTCACCAAGGGGAGACTCATCCAAGGAGGAAATAGCCTCAGCCCCCGCATGCATGACCGGAGCTCACCAAGGGTCCCGAGGTTGGAGTACTTCACTCTCCTAATGACCTCTAGACATTTAAATTTCTCTAAGCAATTGAGAGCTGCTACATTCCAGGTATTCTGTCTCTAGGTTCTATCAGAACACTGAGGTGGAGCAATGCTGTGATGGCCTACGGTTTCTTTCTCTTCTCTCCTTTAACTAAACCATATTGATATGGATCAAATGCTCAATCCTATATTTTAACAGCACAAAAGTTAGGATAAGTATAGAAATTAGAAAGGTAGTGAAGACAACAAGCCTCACTGCCTGATTTAATGTGAGCTCTTGGAAAAGATGGAGTTCTGTGGCTTTCAAACTGTAGCAAGCTTCAGAATCACCTGGAGGACCCAACAAATGCAGAAGCTGGTCCCATCCCCAGAGAGTGAGAAGCAGTGGGTCTGGCCTGGGACCTGAGAATTACCATTTTTGTCAACTGGTAGTAATGCCAGCTTGGGGCCACGCTTTGAGAGCCATTGCTCTAGTTCTTTTCTCCATTTTGTATCTCATAGCATCCTAACCATTTTTTTTTCTTCCACGAGGCTTTTAGTGTGATAGGATATAATGTGCAAAGTACTCCAAAGCTGAGCATCATTGGGGAAGGAAGATGATTCTCTGCCCTCTTACCTTCAGTTGAAAAAAGGAGACAAGACAGGAAGGCATGTGTTATGATTAAGTATTAATAATAGCGGATAATTTAAAATAATAGCAAGAAGCTGAGGAGGAAAGATGGGTCCAAAATTGAGCAATTCTTATCTAATACTAATTAGAGTACATAATTAAAGAAAAAGCTGAAAAAGTCTTTCAAAACTTTCTAAGAGAGAATGTAGACCTTGAACCAAAATTTGAAAAGGATAATTGGTAAGGAAGAAGGCTGGCCCAAGCATATTCTGCAGAGATCATATATCTATAAATATTGTTTCACTTCTTAGAGAAAGGTACTTGTAAGATATTATTAATAATTCTAAAATTAGAACCTGCTTCAGAGAACCCTTTTTTAAGTGCAAGTAACATGATATAGTAGGAACAACATGGGGTCTGGAGCCAGACCTCCCTGTGTTTGAATCACAGCCCTGCCATTCTGCCAGTTGCCAGCTGTGTGACTTAGGGTACTTGGGGCTTAGTTCCTGTCTACAGGATGGGAATATCCATCCCTGAATTTCTGGGCTGCTGTAAAGATTCAACAAGAGAATTCATGAAAAGAATCTGGCACAGAGTAGGTAGGTGCACAGCAGAGGGTCATCCGTGCGAACTGGCATCTGGGCACTGCCTCTGCTTCCTGAAAGTCTCATAAGAAAAGGGGAAAATGAAAAGCATATGCAATATTTGGAAACAACCACTGAATCAGCCTATATTGAAGTCTTTGTCGTGCCAGAGATCCCCAAGGCACTCTTGCAGGGCAGCTGCCAGCCTGGGTAAGCCAACTGAATTTTTGGGCATCTTTAGCTCAAGAAATCCGCCGGTCTAAGCATTGGATATTATGCAGCAGGGCGAAGGTGTATTGCTTTTTACAAGGCACCTGTATAGTTATTTTTTAAGGTAAGCATTCTAGTGCACCTCTTTAGGGAAATTGATATTACCTAAGTTAATAACAGATATAGTGGACAAGGCTAGTGGTGACAATAGTGACGTTCTGTACTACAAACAAAAGCATACAGATAATTTTAACATAGAGTACCCATCTCAGCCCATTGGAATTTTAGTCCAGGATTGTAGTAGAAATGTGAAAGAATGAAAGGAAATGTCCTATTCTTCCAGGGTTGAAGGGACATTTTGTTAGAAGGCACTAGTCTTGCCTCCAGGGGTACCAGTGATGGTTACAGTGACAGGAATGGAACTCTTTTGCCTTCTACTTATGAATTACAGCCTCCTTGCAAGAGGCTCATCTTGGGACTTCAAGGAAGCTCTTGTGGCAAGCTGAGATATGTACTATTCACTGTATTCGCTGATGGCTCAGTGTCCTTCAAGTTGAAACACAAATACGTTGGAGGCAGGAGTCTCCAGGTGTTTCTCTTCAGCAGCCTTTTGACTCCTGATGTCCTCCCTCCTCCCACAGGATGTCCTCTGGGGTTTTATGGAAAAGACTGTGCGCTGATATGTCAATGTCAAAACGGAGCTGACTGCGACCACATCTCTGGGCAGTGTACCTGCCGCACTGGGTTCATGGGACGGCACTGTGAGCAGAGTAAGTATGAGAGCATGACATCTCGAGGAAGTATTTTTTTTTTTCTCTAGAATCAAGTTTCCTAGATGCCTGGAAATGTTAAGGCAGAATTCACTACTCTTAGGTTGTTTGAGCTGATGGCTGGTTACTTCTCAGCATGATTAACTTCCCTCTCAAAGGTCAGGCCTCCCTGGGATCATCGCTGGCTACTCAGCGTTCTGGGTGGAGGAGGTGTGATTACAAGAATGAAGACAGAATTCAAGTTTTCCTTCTGTTCTTTGGGGCTCTCCCTTCCTCTCCTTCTTACTTTTGGAATGTGGCTGCTCAGAGCTTTAAAAGAGCTAGTTGAGCTTTCTTCATGGCAGAAGTGGGACCCAGGTCTCACACTGGAGGGCAGTACATTCGGTGGGGAGGAGGGTTAGTGGCCCACGACCAACCCCTGTTGCTGAGGAGGGAACAAATCCATGCAAATATTGCCGCCCTTTCCACAACCTTCTCTAGATAGTACTTTTATACTCCTTGCATTAACAATTTCTCATCTTAGTCTTAACAACCTTCAAGACAACATACTGCCTTAATTTTTTTTTAAGTCTTCATATGCTGTTGGAATTACTCATCCTTATTTTTTAATTTCCACCCCACTATCTATGTATCTTCTCACAAACTTATAAGAACATTAGTCTTAATAAAATTGAGTATTTCAATACACAATAATAATTCCTTATTATTCCATCCCTCTGTGACTTTCATTCAGTATCTATGATAAATAAATAAGGGCTTGCCTGTAATCCCAGCATTTTGGGAGGCCGAGGTGGGAGGATCACGAGGTCAGGGGTTCGAGACCATCCTGGCCAACATGGTGAAATGCGTCTCTACTAAAAATACAATAATTAGCTGGGTGTGGTGGCGCACGCCTGTAGTCCCAGCTGCTTGGGAGGCTGAGGCAGGAGAATTGCTTGAATCCGGGAGGCGGAGGTTGCAGTGAGCCCAGATCGAGGCACTGCACTCCAGCCTGGCGCCTGGTGACAGGCTCTGTCTCAAAAAAAAGAATAAATAAATAAATAAGGACTTAGGACTCTATTGGACCCACTTTATCATGATAAAACCTTTTAAGCAGGAGAAGATGAAGAGCAATTTCTGTTCACCAGTTTGTACTCTAGGGAAGGATCTGCCGAGCTGATGGCCACAGGAGCAGTGAGGCCTGGAAGGGTTGATCAGGATAGCAGGACTCTGGCAATAAAGTATCCCTCCCATTCCGCTCCACTGGCACCTCACAGAGCCACTTTGAACCTGGTTGCTTCGTTATTACATGCTAAACCCTAGGGTATTTTTGCATATCCTCTTTCTCGCAAATATAACAAAAGTGACATCTAGGAATCAGCTCAAGACAGAGACAACCCAATTTTAGTTTTGTATCACTGTTTCAATGAGTCGTGAAACAGATCCTGACTGAGTGTCATGGTTGCATACACACCTCTTTTGTGCCTACAAATATTGTGGGTCTGTGTATAAATGTCTAAGCATATGCATGGAAACCAGAAGAGGCTCAAAATTTTATTTGAATGACAGATAACTGGTTAGGGTCTCGTTAAATGAAAACCTCTTAAGTGCTTCCGTGATTACTCTCAACAGCAAATTAAAATGTCTGTATTTTGGAGACTTCTCCCAGTGATTATTTGTAAACAGAAACCCTGTATTTGACAGAGAATTCTAATAATAATAGCACATTGCCCCCTGCTGCTCACTTTATGAAAAGCATCAATATTTTGTCACGAAGATTTTTAGATTTAACATGTTTACACTATTCTTTGAAATTCATGCCTAATTCTTATTAAGACCACATCGTAAGAATCCCATTATTTTTGTCTTTAAGACGTCAACCTGCATATCCAGAGTTTGAACCATTCCGTAGCAAATGAGGCTCTTACCTAGAAAATCAACAAAATTTGTTGTCTGCCTCTTCTCCTATTCCTGGCTAATTCCATTGAGAATGTGCATTTACGAAGATTCCTGAGCCTACAGTAAAGTATATATGTTCTCAAGAATATATTTTAGTTTATCTTTAGTTTATACTTTTCAGTATAGGCCTCTTCCAGCCCACAGTTTTGCCTGGTAGACTTAACTCAAATTGCCCTTAGTGATCATCTGTTTCTTAAGAATTTCACAGACTCTCCGTATATCATAGAGGTGGGTATGTAGCAGCTGACAGCGTCAGGAGCTCTAATGTCGAGCAGCCCTGTCTCTAACCCTGTGCAACCTGGACTGTGAGTGTTCGTGATTCCGGGAATGCTGTCCAGTTCTGGGACACTCTGGGGGTTACAAGTCAGCCTGAACAGGAATCCTCTGAAAGGATTCATCTAGAGATGTGCAAGGCTTGCAGTCAGAGACAGCCTTGCTCCAGATTCCCAAGGCTGCAAAGCTACATCTGACTTTCCTTCTCTAGAGTGCCCTGCAGGAACATATGGCTACGGCTGTCGCCAGTTATGTGACTGTCTGAACAACTCCACCTGCGACCATATCACCGGGACCTGTTACTGCAGCCCTGGATGGAAGGGTGCAAGATGTGATCAAGGTAAAGGTACTAGCAAATAATCCCTCTTACCATGTGAGCACCATCTTCCAGGCAATGGGGAGTATTTTCATTTATGTTATCTAGCATCATCTTCACCATAGTTGTAACTGGCATAATTGGTGACTTATTTAATTGCCAGATGGATCCCTTATTGTTGCTTTTTGGCAAATAAAGAGACAAAAGCTTAAAGAGGTTAATTTTCCCAAGGTCACACAGCTAATATCTAGAATATGTCACAGCTTCTATGCCAGATTTTTGTTATTCTAAAACTCATGAACTTTCTTTTGGGTCTATGATTTTTTTTTTTGGCTTTATTGAGGTGTAATTGATACACAAAAACCACACCTATTTAATGTATACAATTTAGTAAAATCTGAACTTTTTATACACCTGTGAAACCATCACCATTATAAATGAAATATTCATCACCATGAAAGTTTCCTCATGCCCCTCCCTACTTCTACCATCCCTTAAGCTCCAGGCCACCACTCATCTCTTTTCTGTCACTATAGACTAGTTTTCATTTTCTAGAATTTTATAGAAATGAATTTTTATACTGTAAAATTTGGGGTCTGGCTTTGTTTACTCAGCATAATTATTTTGAAATGGAACCATGTTGTTGCACATATCAACAGTTCAGTTCTTTTCATTGCTGAATAGTATTTCATTGTGTGGATATACTATAATTTGTTTACCTATTCACGTGCTGATGGACATGTGGATTGTTTCCAGTTGTACTACTGATAAAGCTGCTATGAACAAGAGTGAATCAAGTTTTTGCATGGACACGTGCTTTCATTTCTCTTGAGTAAATATTTAGGAGTAGAATAATTGGGGTTATATGGTAGGCATATGTTTAACTTTTTGTAAAACTGGTGCCCCTGGTTTTTAACTGGGGTGTGTATCACAATGACCATAATTGTCATTTTCGTGGTCCCATCTGAGAAATTCTGAGTCGGGTTGGGGACTCTGAGAAAGTTCTTCTGATGGTTCTAAAGCATGCCCTCCAGAGAGCCACAGCTTCTACTGCATGTGGTAGTCCCTGCTAGGCAATAAGCAGATAGGTTATAAAAGGCTTTAGAAAACTGTCATAGATGGAGTCAGCTTAAACTGCAAGCCATGTAAATATTTACAGCATTTAGCTTCACATGCTCATGATTTACATCTGACTGTCATAACAATGGAATGTGATATTTCATGATCACAGTATTATTGCAAATACTCTGTAATCTCACTACATTGTCCTTGGTGGTCTGTGTTTCAGGGCAGATTGTTTTGTGAGAAGGTCCTCTAGCATTTAGAATCATAAAATCATAGGCACATGTACTTGAACTGGAAGCAGTGACATGAGAGGCCTCTTTTCTCGTTTATAGATGATAAAACTGCAGCCTGAAAACTTAAGGGAAAGTTTAGAATATCTAGGTCAATTTTTTTTAGATGCCAGATTTCTTGAATCTCAACCCATGGCTTTAGCATCCTCACTTGATGGACCACAAGGAAAAACTATGTAATGTTGAATTTTGAATTTAATGAGCAAGATACTAGGGTAATGCTATCAGGTATTATCAGGACAAATCTTTCTGTCATGGAAAATAACTTTGGATGAAAAATATCTTCTAAGGTAAAAGACCTATTGAAATTAGCAAAATGCCGATCCTGTTCTTAGACTAGATTTATAATGGTGTTATGCTTGCTTAGAAGGAAAATTACTCTTAGAAATGCCAAGGATAGACATAATATTTGGTTAAGCAGTTGGGACATTTAGCATTTAACTGCATAAACTCAGTATTGAATAATAAAGCAAAATAAAAATTAGGTAAATTATTACCCCAAATTAATTGCCAGTCTAAGTATTTAATCTGAAATATATAAGAAGTCTCAAACCCTACTGTAGAATTTCTTTGAGTTCAGAAAAATCCTATTTCTTCATATTTTTTAAAGACAGGGTCTTGCTATGTTGTCCAGGCTCGTTTCTAACTGCTAGGCTACCTCAGTTCTCCCACCTCAGCCTCCTGAGTAGCTAAAACTGCAGGCACACATCACTGTGCCCAGCTTCTGTCTCTTTTTGAGGCTTACGGCAGCCTTTCTCTGGGCACGGATAGGCCAACAACATCTGACAATGAGGAATGTTTGCTTTTTCTTCCTGCTCTGCTTCCAAATTAATGTTTTATGAACTGAAAATATGCAGGCGTTAGCACAGAAGGAGGTTTTTGTAAGCAGAGATCAAACATTTATCCAGTGCATTGTCATCCTTTCTCAAGTCTCTCTTCTTTTTCTAGCTGGTGTTATCATTGTTGGAAATCTGAACAGCTTAAGCCGAACCAGCACTGCTCTCCCTGCTGATTCCTACCAGATCGGGGCCATTGCGGGCATCATCATTCTTGTCCTAGTTGTTCTCTTCCTACTGGCATTGTTCATTATTTATAGACACAAGCAGAAGGGAAAGGACTCAAGCATGCCAGCAGTTACCTACACCCCTGCTATGAGGGTCATCAATGCAGATTATACCATTTCAGGTAAGACCAGAGGCAGGGGAGACATTTTGCTTCTTGAATAGTTAAATTTCATCCTGTTTCTTTACAACTGGGTGTTTGGCTGTGCTGTCCATTGTTTCTGTCAATTCTCATTGAGAGAATTGTATGTTTGGAAAAGGTATACATTGCTAGAGGTGAGTTTTATATTTCAGCAATAGTAAATTGTCATTCTGTGGTTTGCTATGAGGGTTTTAAAACTGAGTTCATTGTGTTTGTGCTTTAGATTTAGGGAATTTCAATCTAGCCTCAAGCTTTTTTTCATATGTGAGAGGTGGTGGGAAGGAAGAGAGGGTAAGTTTACCAAGGTCATGGATCAGGGGGTAGACTAGTTCTCCTGCCTCTGAACGTGGGAACTTCCTACGTGCTTCCCGGCCTCTCCCTAGGCCCACCCGAATCATTAACTAGAGGGAAACAAGTTATATCAGAAACAGCTTTTTGGTATTAGCAAGAACCAACACAGCACTTTAAGAAAACTCTTTTGATTTTTTTCCTGTCACAAGGCTCTATAAAAGGAAAAATATATATATAATCAATTATCAGGAGAAATAACCACTTACATGGAGGCATTTAAAAGCTTAAAATCTTTATTAATTTTGGGGTGATTATTGAAGGCCTTCTGGTTGGTTACATGTTTAAAACTACAAAATTCTCTGGAAATATGAGAAGTAGCTGATTAGCATAGAAGTGCATTTTCAGTGCAGAATTATTGTGTCAAGCACTCAAGTGTTTATAAAAAGGAAAGTTGCAGAGTAGCTTCAAATGATGCCTTCCCAGCTCGTACAATCCCCAAAGCAAACAGCAGTTGTCTGTGGATCCTGTGAACAAAAGTTCTCTGAAAAGGAATTTGGAGGAAAGATATCTTACTCTGGTGAACAGTTTGCAAACCCAGGACTTCCAGACAGTATAAAATGAAGGTGCAGTTCAGAAAACAAAGGGAAGGCTTGGGTGTTACAGCAAAAGTCCCCTCCCAGCTTCCCATCAGGTACATTTATGCAAATGAAGGCTTGAAACTGGTTTAATTCTAATTGATCAGTGCAGCTGAGTTCTGGTTGGTTGGTACAGCTGCACCCTGATTGGTTGATAAAGCTGAGCCCCGATTGGTTAAGGCAGGTAAGCTCTGATTGGTTGGTTCAGCGGAGCTCTGAAAGACCCAAAGATAAAAAGCTGCTGGTTTTCAGGCACTCAGAGTACAGGTGTGACCCATAGCAAGGGCCTGCTTGACTCTATTTAAAATTGAGGCCTAGTTAGCCACTCCTGTGGATCTTATAGGGTTGGTTCTCTCAGGTTCACATTTGTTCACAAGACTTTCGTCCTTTTCCAAGAAGACAGGAGGGCAGCGGCCTGTTGCTTCTAGAAGCTTTGCTAAGTAGGCTGGGCAGGAGGAGAGTCTGTCTAGCTTGTGATATGGAAGCAGTCCAGACATTTGTTCTGTTATTTTGATTCCCTTTTTTCACACACGTTTATGGGAGCCTGCCGCCTTAACCATTTCCTTGCCTTCTTGCAGGAACCCTTCCTCACAGCAATGGTGGAAACGCTAATAGCCATTACTTCACCAATCCCAGTTACCACACGCTCACCCAGTGTGCCACATCTCCTCACGTCAACAACAGGGACAGGATGACCGTCACGAAGGTGAGAGGAATGGGCTCACATCTTTGAAAGCGGGCCGGGGACAGAGGAAGGGAACCAGCATTTATTGAGGGCTGCTCTTTACCAGAGGCTGTTCTAGGTCCTTTACATGTATTATCTAATTTATTCCTGTAAACAGCCCTCTGGGTGTGCCTTGGGAATCTCAAGTTCACTGACAAAAACCTGAGTAGTAGGGAGTTAAGTCATTTCCAGACACAGCTGCCTGATAAGAAGCGAGGCAGCTGCTGTGTGAGCCAAAGTCTCTCTCTACAATCTGTACTGTTTCCATTACACCGCTTTAGAAAAACGTTTCTAATTTTTCATGAGATTTTAAAATAATGACTCATAATGACATTAACAAAAACGTAAAGACCTATAGCAGAATCAGCCATGGGCAAAATCTCCACGTGCACCTCTTCTGACTGCCCGTCCTCTAGTACCTTGTCCTGGCCACCTGTGCTTTACTAACAGCAACAGTAACACGCACTGATTTGGGCTGAACCATGTAAATTGATACTTTTGTGAGTTAGTGGTCACATAGCAACAACCTACTATTACGTGCCAAGCATTTCTAATCATTAAAAAATACAAACTCATTTTATCTTCACACCAATCAAGAGCGATTATTATGCTGATTTTACAGATGAGGAAACTGAGTCACAGAGAGTTTGGAGACAGAGCTGTCTAGAACCCAGAGCTGCTCCTTTAATAGCACCCAACTTACCCCTGGGTCTTCACCACAATGCTCTGAAATCTCACATATCTCTTCCAATCATACCCAAATTATATTTCTAATCTCCGTTGTCTAATTCCAGTGCTCTATTAGGAAAAAAATCAAGCTCATTAAATTAATCCAGTTGTAATTTAATTAATGCAGCTATAGGTTTTAATTATAGTGCCTCATGGTTAAATGGCACTTCACATTCTCCAGAGACTTTCCCATTCATCATTTCATTTGTTCTCATACAAAGTCAGGGACGGAAGCAAAGCAGATAATGTTATCCTTGTGTTTATGCCTAGGGAAGCTGCTCAGAGTCACCTGTGACTCACACAAACATAGAATTTTTGATGGGAGGGCTTAGACTAAGAATTCACTTTTTCTTCCAATTCAAAGTTACATGTATATAAATCCAAAAAAGGTCTAATTGGCACAGGATGACAGAGTGAAATGAAGATCTTGAGGCAATTGAGGGAGTAGCTGGGACTGAAGGACATGAGCTCCTGTTAGCTTCCAAGTCCCACCAGGTTACAAGCAGTCACCTCGGCGTCTGAGCTCAGCCCCCTCTAATGACTGGTCCTCAGTATGCACCCTGGACTTCTCCCCAGTTCCATAACGCTGTGCTGTGCTGCACTGTATTTTGTTTTTAAGTCTTTCATTGTTTATATTTTTAACAGTCAAAAAACAATCAACTGTTTGTGAATCTTAAAAATGTGAACCCTGGGAAGAGAGGCCCCGTGGGGGACTGCACTGGGACATTGCCGGCAGACTGGAAGCATGGCGGCTACCTCAACGAGCTCGGTGAGTTCTCCCAGCAGCACTGTGACCTGCATATCCGTCACCGAAACAGTCACAGATCTCTGTCTGTGCCAAGGTGATCTACTGAAAACTTGCATCAAAAAGTACAATAACAGAATTATTTCTAGCACCTGCACATGGCTAACTATTGTCCCCAGGGCTTTATCTATTCAACAAACATTTATTGAGTTCCTACTATGTGCCAGGAATTGATCAAAAAGCTACTGCCTACTCGTAGCTTACATTCTAGCTCTATGCCTGTTAACTTAATTCTCACAAGTGCTCTATACGTAGATACTAATGTTATCACCATCTCCATGTTACAGTTGAGAAACTGAGTCATAATGAGGTTAAGTTACTTGCACAGGGCCTCATTGCCTGTGAAATGTTAGAGCTAGTATTGGACCCTGTGAGCTTCGCTCCCAGCTGTGAGCTCCTCCGTGTTCTCTTTTGATATAGGGTATCAGTACTTGAGATCTCCTTCCCTTTCAGGTGAGAAAACAGAAATACCAACAGGAATACAGTGGATCAGTGGTTCTCAAAACTTTTTGAAATCAGGACTCCTTTACATTGTTAAAATTTCTCGAGGATTCCAAAAAGCTTCTGTTGATAGGGGCTACATCTATTTATATTTATCATAGTAAATGAAATTTACTGTGATAATGAAATTTAATATATAAATAAAAACAGGAAAAATAGAATATTAATTTATTTAAATTAACAATAATCATCATATTTCATGGTAACGTAAATTGTGTTTTTGTGAAAAATCACTACATTTTCCAAAGCCACCCAAAATTAATGAGAAGAGCAACACTATTTTACATTTTTATAAAAAATTTCCTCAATGTCTGACTTAATAGAAGATAGCTAGATTATCATGTTTGCTTTTCTATTCAGTTGGTTTGGGTCCCATACTTCATGTAACTTCTGAAAAACTCTACTGTACATTTGAAAGATAATTAGAGTGAAAATGGCAAGTAATGTTGTATCGCTATGAAAATAGCTTTGCTGCGGGGCACAATGGCACCGGCCTATAGTCCCAGCTACTTGGGAGGCAGAAGCAGGAGAATGAGCCCAGGTGTTTGAGTCTGATCTGGATGACATAGCAAAACCCCATCTCTTAATATATATATACATATAGTTTTGATCCCATAGGCCTCCTGAAAAGGGGGAAGAAATGCTTGGTCCACACCTAAAGAACTTCTGTGATATACCATTAATTATGTGCTGCAGTTTCCAAGCCCGTATCCCATATTTTCAGAGAGGAGTTTGATGATATAGTAACTTACAGGTGTGCAGTGTCTTATGGGTAACAAATCCTTTCACATACATTTACTTGGAGGTAGGGGCCAGAAATCCTAGCTAAATTAGAATTTCAGATAGATAAACAGCAAATATTTTTTGCATAAATATAATCACAGATATTACATGGGCTGTACACTAAAGATTATTTGTTATTTAAATTTTTAATATAACTGACCTTTGTGTGTCTTTGTTTGCTAATTTTTTGTTTTATGTTTTGTTTTTGTTTTTGAGACAGTCTCACTCTGCCATCCAGGTTGTAGTGCAGTGGCATGATCTCTGCTCACTGTGACCTCTGCCTTCTGGGTTCAAGAGATTCTTCTGCCTCAGCCTCCCCAGCAGGTGGGATTACAGATGTGCACCACCATGCCTGGCTCATTTTTGCATTTTCAGTAGAGACAGGGTTTCTGCCTTTGGCCAGCCTGGTCTCAAACTCCTGACCTCAAGTGATCTGCCTGCCTCGACCTCCCAAAGTGCTGGGATTTCAGGCATGAGCCACTGCACTTGACCTATTTCCTAAATTTGACAGTCCTCCTGGGTGGATGCTTTTCCATGAATCTTGTTTTGTAGATAAATAAACTGGGAAGCAGAGAGAGGTTAACCTCTTGTCTGAAATTTTATAGGAGGAAAGGGGTAAAGCTGGATTTCAAAGCTGGTCTTCTGGCTGCTGCCCTTAAACACTGTTTCTTCTGTAAGAACAGTGTCAGATCCCTGTGGGAATGCCTCTTTCTATGGAATAAAAATGTTTTAGTGGTGAATACGAATTCGTAGTCATTTCCGTAGTGTAGTGATTATCATGCTCACTGTACAAATTCCTTTTATCTGCCTTCTATACCATTTTTATCAATAGGATGTGTATTTACAACCACAGTAAAATTACTTATATACTAGACTCACAATATACTTATTGGTAACATCATGTAACATTAAAGGAGACATTTTAGGAGTCTTAATTACATTTCTAATTTAGCTCAAAGGAATATATGAATTAATATTTAGCAAAATACCAACCAGCACTAGTGAAAGAAAAGTCCTTTTGTTGTGTCTTAGACCACTGTGAAGACTCCAGTAGATACAAAATCACTGCATTGGTCACATATAAATGTCTCAACTTTGTGGCTCAACGAGACCCAAAGGACTGAGTGTTAGGAACATAGAATCTTCTTTGGAAATTCTGCATCTTCTTGGTTTGTTCTCACTCAAGTGTAATTCTGCATTTAACATCCCTTTAAAGTTGTTGCATGGAGAAAGTTCTTCTTCACAAAGGACAGAGTCAGTCATGTTGTGGATGGTAAAGCGTACAGGTGTTTTAAATGATGGAATAGTTGTCACGATGGTATCTGAAAGAGCCTTGAACTAGACACAAAAAGCCCTGAGATGGCACTGGGCCAATCACTTACCCTTTCATAGTTGATTTGTTCATTTGTAAAATGGGAGTATTAACCGTGTACTGGTTCATTGTGTGAATTTAATTAAACCAAGCATTTGAAAGCCCTGCCCCAGGGATTGGTACATACAGGAGTTTATGGGGAATCCAGATTGCTCCCTTGTTAAAACAGCTCCCTGATCCTCCAAGGCAATGAAGAGAGAATCTGGCAGGGGTGTCTGGCATCATAGCCCCAGCTCTTATTCCTTAACTTGCTATCTGCTCCATGCTGCTTCTCTCTTTCACATCTTGGGGGAAGGCTAGCCATTGCACAGCTACGATTAAAATGGACATTTAACAAGACTTTGCTAAGTCTGGGGATGGCCAAGGGTATTTGGCAAAGAGGAGCATAGACAGAGCTCCTGGATAAAGCTGTTTAGAGATCACAGACTGTGCCCCATCTTCGTGGGTCCTTTTTACCATGCTCCAGAAGACCACTCTCACTTCTGACATTAGCTACAAGTTAGAGGATCACCAAGACAATCCTCAGGATCAATATTTTGCTACAAGGAGTCACTGAACTCATTGAATAGGAATTTTCATGGTTATAGTTTGTCACTGCAAAAGGATACAGATTAAAATCAGCCAGGGGAGCAGACACATGGTACAGAGTTCAGGAAAGTTCAAAGCATGACTTTTGGGTCTTCTTGTCCCAGTGGAGCCATGGAAAATGCTAACTTTTTCTGGCAACAATGGGTGACCACACATACAGAGTATGGCCAACCAGGGAAGCTCACCTTAGCCTTTGTATCCAGAGTTTTTGGGGGGCTCAGTAATATAGATGCGATTGACTCCCATTATTTAGAGATGGTTGACCTTTAGTCTTTCCCCTCCAGAGGTGGCCATGATACCGTATGTCCCAAACCCCCCACCATAAATCACTTTGTTACACTATCCAGTGTAGCCCTGGGCCCCCAGGTAAACAAAAGCACTCCTATTGGGCAGGACAGTCCAAGGACTTCTAGATCACCTCCCAGGAGCTGAGGGCAAAGGCCAGTGCTTTCTTTAGTAAGGTTAATTCTTCATTACATACCTATTTATGCTGCCTCCCTGCATAACCCTGTGCCTTTCCCCCCAGACTCTAACCAGACTCTTGGTTAGTCTCCACAACCCAGATGCAAGAGAGTTTGCCCGAGAGAGGAAAATATTCCTTTTAGAGGCTGCTTCCTTCTCCACAACAGTGTGGGCTTACCCAGTGACCCCTGTAGGACCACCATCAGAACTTGAGCTTAACATCACTCTGAGATGCATGCACAGTGGCAAAGATTTTCTTAACGTTCTTGAATATTTATTTGGACTGTTCATTGCTAGTTGTTACTTTACTGTCTGCTTTTAACCTAAGTCTGTAACATTCTTATTGTATTGCATTATATTTTAAAAGATTAGAGTCAAGGTTTTGCCATATTGCCCAGGCTGGTCTCAAACTCCTGGGCTCAAGCAATCCACCCACCTTGGCCTCCAGCAGTGCTGGGATTACAGGCATAAGCCGTCAAACCTGTCCTGTAATATTCTTTTAAAAGATAATTGAAAATGCCATGGTGCCATACTGTCCAAAGTAATTTATAGATTCAACGCTATCCCCATCGAGCTACCTATGACCCTCTTCACAGAACTGGAAAAAAAAAAGCACCTTAAACTTCATGTGGAACCAAAAGAGAGCCTGCATAGCCAAGTCAATCCTAACAAAAAAGAACAAAGCTGGAGGCATCACGCTATCTGTCTTCAAACTGTACTACAAGGCTACAGTAATCAAAACAGCATGGTACTGGTACTAAAACAGAGATATAAACCAATGGAACAGAACAGAGGCCTCAGAGGCAATACCACACATCTACAACCATCTGATCTTTGACAAACCTGACAAAAGCAATGGGGAAAGGATTCCCTGTTTGATAAATGGTGTTGGAAAAACTGGCTAGCCATGTGCAGAAAACAGAAATTGGACCCCTTCCTGACACCTGACACTAAAATTAACTCCAGATGGATTAAAGACTTAAACATAAGACCTAATACCATGAAAGCCCTAGAAGAAAATCTAGGCAAAACCATTCAGGACATAGTAATAGGCAAGGACTTCATGACTGAAACACCAAAAGCATTGGCAACAAAAGCCAAAATAGACAAATAGAATCTAATTGAACTCCAGAGCTTCTGCACAGCTAAAGAAATAATCATTAGAGTGAATTGGCAACCAACAGAATGGGAAAAAATTTTTGCAATCTACCCATCTGAGAAAGGGCTAATATGCAGAATCTACAAAGAACTAAAATAGATTTACAGGAAAAAAAACAAACCCATTCAAAAGTGGGCAAACGATATGAACAAACAGTTTTCAAAAGATGACATATATGAGGCCAACAAACATATGAAAAAATGCTCATCATCAGTGGTCATTAGAGAAATGCAAATCAAAACCACATTGAGATACCACCTCTTGCCATTTAGAATGGCGATCATTAAAAAATCTGGAGACAGCAGATGCTGGAGAGGATGTGGAGAAATAGGAACACTTTTACACTGTTGGTGGAGTGTAAATTAATTCAACCATTGTGGAAGACAGTGTGGCACTTCCTCAAGGACCTAGAAATAGAAATTCCATTTGACCTTGCAATCCCATTACTGGGTATATATCCAAAGGATTATAAATCATTCTATTATAAAGACACATGCACATGTATGTTCATTGCAGCACTGTTTACAATAGCAAAGACCTGGAACCAACCCAAATACTCATGGACGATAGACTGGACAAGGAAAATGTGGCACATGTGCACCATGGAATACTACGCAGTCATAAAAAAACAGTGAGTTCATGTCCTTTGTAGGGGCATGGATGGAACTGGAAACCATCATTCTTAGCAAACTGACACAAGAACAGAAAATCAAACACCACATGTTCTCACTCATAGGCAGGTATTGAATAATGAGAACACATGGACACAGGGAGGGGAGACCACACACTGGGGTCTGTGGCCGGGTGGGGGGTCTAGGGGAGGGACAGCAGTGGGTAGGGAAGTTGGGGTGGGATAACATGGGGAGAAACGCCAGATATAGGTGACAGGGGGATGGAGGCAGCAAACCACATTGCCATGTATGTACCTCTGCAACAATCCTGCGTGATCTGCACATGAACCCCAGAACCTAAAGTACTATATATGAAAAAGAAAATGCCATGGAGTGCTTAAGGAAAGACTGAAGCAAAGGGTAGTACTGAGTGTTACACTAACTGACACACTTCATTTGTACGGTGCTTCAAAGTTTACAAAGCCTTTCCATATGCTTTGTTTTACTTAATGATGACAAAAACTCTGGAAGGCAAGAAGGCAAATTTTGTTTTCCCCATTTTAGAGATGAGAAAATTGACACTCAGAGAGTGGAACATTTTGCCCAAAGTCATATGGCCAATAAGCGATGGCATCTAATTCCTTTGTCTTCTAATCTGTAGTTTTCTCCTTTGTGACAACACAGCTCCAATAGAATACTTGATTCCCATGCAGTATTAATAATGCAATTTTACGTGTATATACCAGATAGTGTAACATGGGCTAGGTAATGTCCTCTTATTTGTTTGTAATAGTATGAATTTGTGATTAAATGCTTATATTTTATACAACGTGCTTGTGACCTGATTGATATCTGTAAGTGGTTGCACATTCTCTCAATTGTTTTCAGCATGAGCAGGAACACTCTTACTCTGTTTCCTTCTCCACTTTCACCAAATAAAGACCAGCCATTTTCAAACAAGAAAGCAGTTTTTTTCTGTGTACTAGGCTCATACACAATTATGTCCCCATACCTGGAAAAGTCAAATTGATAAAATAAAAGCTGAATAAAGACAGGAAAGAGCTAGTACCATCTGTAAAGTGTTAGTCAACAGTGTTCAAAGCTTCCAGTCTCCAGAAAACATGCTTATAGTGAAGATAATAATAAAGCCGAGTAATGATTATAACTATTTGAAAACCATCAGATCCTTGAAATAGCTGCACATAGGTGTGAAATGTCAACTCTAGTCTTGGCTGTATCCTTTCTTTCCACTGTGGAACTTGAATCAAGTATACTGATTTATCTCTGGGCCTCAGTTTCTATCCTGTTTTGACTAGCCTTTCCTGAGTCACTGTAAATGACCAGGTGAATGATCAAAGGTGTGTGTGTTTAATTCTAAGCATTGGGGACATCTGGGACAACTGATCTGGTGTAAAGCCTTGAAAATAACAGCCTTGGTTGGTTGTTGAATGGGAAATCCTCTTCCAGGACCTTGGAATATTGGATGGGGTTTTTCTTCCTTTCAGTTTTCACTGGGTGTTTTTTTCTTCCCTTATCACAGGTGCTTTTGGACTTGACAGAAGCTATATGGGAAAATCCTTAAAAGGTATGGTGCAAATTTGAGGAAGAAATCAGAAGCACAATTAATTTTTTTTTAATCTCAAAGGCTGAAATAATATTTAAACTAGCAAGAGTGGCAAGAGAAAATGTAGAATTTTTAGTGTGGTCAGTTACTATACGAAACACACAAACGTGTGACTGACATCAAGAATGTGACCAGAGGTGGACCTTGGCAGAGCTTAAGTCTTGAAGAACAAAAGATTCAGTTTGCTAAGGAAACACTCATATTTCCTTTGAAAGAAATATGGCTTATGGGAAGACAGAAACATATAAAGGGAAACAGCAAGGGTAATAAGGAAAGATCCGCGTGGTTACCTGCTGACCAAGGTCTGCTCTTTAGGATGGGTGTATGTGCTTAGTTGCCCAGTACAGAGCTTTTACCAAGAGTTCTCCCAGCACAAATGCCTTCTTTTCATGGTAATGGAGCCCTGGTTGGTACTCCTGGGGCCATCAACAGTTGATTTCTTGACTGAACTCCAGCAAATTTTCTACTAATAAAATAGACTGTAATTGATTATATTTGAATGTGATCATAAAAATGAAATCAGATACATAATGTTGATGTCAGTACTCATCTTGGAGAGGAGCTAAAATTGCTTCACAGATGGGTCATTTTATAGTAAATTCTCTCCAAAACAAGTGAAAAATCTGTATTGTTTTCAGTGTATAGCATTATGAAAACCTAGCTATAAAGAAAAAAAGGAAGTTATCACCAAGAAATGATGTTGCCAATGACACAGCATTAGCTTTCCCCTCCTATTTCTCTTCACAGACCTGGGAAAGAATTCTGAATATAATTCAAGTAACTGCTCCCTAAGCAGTTCTGAAAACCCATATGCCACCATTAAAGACCCACCTGTACTTATCCCTAAAAACTCAGAGTGTGGTTATGTGGAGATGAAATCACCAGCACGAAGAGATTCCCCATATGCAGAGATCAATAACTCAACTTCAGCCAACAAGAATGTCTATGAAGTTGGTGAGTTCTCCTAGCCATAGAAAGAACCTAGTGCATAAGTTTTTAAAAACAATTTTAAAGTCATTGTGAATATAATAGTTGCAGATCATAGAAATCTTATTAAAAATAATGGTCCATATTTTATTTTTTGAGATGGGGTCTCTCTGCCACCCAGGTGGAGTGCAATGGCACGATGTCGGCTCACTGCAGCCTCTACTTCCTGGGCTCAAGCCATCCTCCCACTTCAGCCTCCCAAGTAGCTGAGACCACAGGCGTGCACCACCACACCCAGCTAATTTTTTGTATTTTTAGTAGAGATGGGGTTTTGCCACCATATTTTATTAACAGATGCAACCTGTGTTTATAGTGATCATATTAATTGGTGCCAAGAAAATTTTCCAGGGAAAATATCATTTAGAAAAATTTAAAGTAAATTTTCTTTATTTTTCACCTAGTCATTCATCTTTTGTTTTGTAAACATAGTGAATACTTTGGCACACATGTGGATAGCATATGTATCATATTAGCTAATATATCTAGTTAGCCAAAACAAATGGTTCAAGTGGATTAAACAGGTGATTCCGTTTGCTGGTTCATTATATTAATATACTGCATTTAGCGAGATTGAAACATTTTACTTTTAAACTTGTTCAATATAGCAGTAATATTCTCTGATGTGAATGTGTTACAAATTAACATGAATTCAATTTAAAATTGGAGTTATTTTGATTGTCTTTTACGAATACCATCTGGGAAATGATAAAACATACCACCACTACCATTGACTAAACAATAGGGCTATAGATTTTCATTTCTTTCTCTCTTTTTGTCTCATTTCTACATTTCTCTTAGTATTTATGGTTTTAACTTTAAAATATTCTTTACTGCTTGTAAATGAAGTGCCTACTTCTTTACTACTAGTAATTCATTTTATGCCAGATATGTCCCTGAGAAAAAATATATAAAATAATTTATTTTTAAAGTGTTAAAACAGCTTTTTTTTTTTTGAGATGGAGTGTTGCTCTGTCACCAGGCTAGAGTGCAGTGGCACAATCTTGACTCACTGCAGCCTCCTGAGTAGCTGGGACCACAGACGCCTGCCACCATGCCTGGCTAATTTTTTGTATTTTAGTAGAGAAAGGGTTTTACCATGTTGGCCAGAATGGTCTCAATCTCTTGACCTCATGACCTGCCTGCCTCGGCCTCCCAAAGTGTTGGGATTACAGACGTGAGCCACTACGCCTGGCCAGGGCAGCTTTTAAAAATGGAAGTCAAAGTGAACTAAATTTATTTTTGCAAAGTCAGTAACAATTCTCCTTTAAACTGTCCTACAACCCCACCACAGTTGGATGGGAACTGAACTGAGAGCCTGAGTCTTGAATCCTAAAGTTGTGAACTTGTTGAGTGTTTTCATGAACTGAATTAAGGTTTGAAAACCTCAGTCTTCTCACCTGTGGAATAGGGGCTTGGCCTACTTTATCCCTAAGGTATTTTTCAGACAATGATTTATATCCAGGATTCTGTATGTTCCCTTGATGTCTTCATCCTGATTATGTGGTCATCCTTTTGTTCTGAACACACTGTGTGTTTGCTAGTTGCTCCAACTGCATAGATTTGACACCCCTATGTGATTATTTAAAAAACGATGTTTTTAAAACCAGTATTTTCTTATATATATTTTTAAAGTCCCTTTGGTGTGTTCCATATTTGCCAGAAATGCCATATTCTTTTTAAAAGTGTTTCCATTGCTGATAAATTAATGAGTCCTTGGTTATCACAGAACCTACAGTGAGTGTTGTTCAAGGAGCATTCAGCAATAATGGGCATCTCACCCAGGATCCATACGACCTCCCAAAGAACAGTCACATCCCTTGTCATTATGACCTGCTGCCAGTCCGAGACAGTTCATCCTCCCCCAAGCGAGAGGACAGTGGCAGCAGCAGCAGCAGCAGCAGTGAATGACACCAAAGGACCACTTGGTAGCCACTGGAATACTTTCCAGAACTGCAATTTGTTTCTTCTCCATCCTCAATTGTGCCACTTTCATGTGAATGTTAATCAACTCCAGTAGGCAACTGTTGGACATGAACCAGAAAGCTCGAAGCTGAGGCTGCAACTGTTGGATATGAACCAGAAATTTCAAGGCTGAGGCTGACACCGACGATAGGTGCTTTTCGTTCAAGTGGCTTTGAAGGAGTTAGAGATGTGATTTGCCATTGCTGTTAGATTTAGAACTATCCCCGTGAAGCATGACTTATTGTAAGATGTTGGCTGAAATCATGAACTTGCAGAACTCCCTCGGAGACACAGATGGCAGTGGACATTGACGTTGCCTGAAAAATTAAAAGTTGAGTATTTTCTTTCTCATTTGCATCATATAGAGCTGTACCTAAGATTGTACAGTTTACCATAAAACTTACTTCAGGAAAGTGGGAATCACTGAACATGTAGAAGGAAAGAAACGTGTTGTCAAGTCCTTATTCTTAACTTTATTCAGCTGGACTCAGAATTGTAGGGATAATATGAATGCAAGAGGAAACATTCTGTCAGGTGGCGTAACTGGATAAACTTTGAATATACTCTAAAAGTGGACAGAAAACTTAAACATGAAAATCTTAGATTTTGTTTTGAATGAGAAGATATATAATTAGAATTATTGCAGAAATACTAGTAAGTATTGCAGAAGTCAATACACAAATGTTACAGGCAGAGGTGGTTTTTCTCTCTATTTGACCCTCTACAACTTCGGATCTATGACATTATTCTGATCACTGGCTCCATCATACATATTCACCACTTGAGATTCATAACATATCAGTAATTATTTCATAAAGAAATGATTTTATTTTTGACAGACTGGATGGAATGAGTGTGTAATGATTGATAAAGGTTGTAAATTTTAAGTGCAAGACGATGCTTAAGTTTTGTAAACCATTAGTAATACATGCTGTAATATAGAATTAGCAGAACATTTTGATTAATTTTTCCCTAGAGGTGACTGAAATATTTTTGTGCATATTTGAGAAAGGGCACTTTCCTTTTATTAATTGTCGATTTAGAGAAACTATGCTTAAGCTGGTCTTTTGCATCGCTAATGTGACATGTATCCCACTTTTCATTAATTTGTATTTCCATTTTTAAGTTGCATATTCTATGTTTTGTAGTGTTTGGATTGTTAATGAAAAAATATTATATGTTCATTGTTCCTTGTATTATTGCCGCTCATCTTTTGATTGATAAAAATGCATTGTTCTTTTTTCTTTTGGAGGGACAAGATGAAAATATATAATTTGAATGGATTAAAATTGGTCATTACTAAAATAGTAGTAACCATAGGTGATAGGCTTATGATTGAAATAGAGATGCTTTTAAATATTCCAAAATGGAGTTCCTTTTGATCTGTTCATTCTGAGTCTTGCTTAAACCAGGGAGAAGGGGAGCAAAAAGGAAACGTTGTTACTGCAGGAGTACTGCAGACTCATCTTACAAAAAAACTCATTATGGTGATCAGACAACTGACCGTCCAAACTGGGACACTCTTGAGAGTAAATGGAGGGCATTATTACTAATTATCCTGTAATGAGCTTAAATCTGGATGGTTCCAAGCAAACCAGACTTATCTTGCAATATCAGAATGCTGAGACAATGCAAGAAAGCCAGTTTCCCTTTTGTTGATCTACTTGATGAAGCAACGGCACTGAAAAGCTGAATAAGGAAGCAACTTTATCAGAGTAACAGTGGTCTTCAATGTTTTAAAGACATGAAATCCTCTATGGCATTCTGTCTCAGTGAGCCAGTTAAAAAAGATGTATGTGCATCCCTTCTGTAGTGCACATAAGTCATTGTCCCTGCCACTTACCGAGCTGGAATATCCAGTTATTTCATGTCACACGTCTGCACGTGTAATGGTGGTTTGATCAGATGAATAATACAGCAGACACACTTTGAACACTCACTCCATTGATGGCTGCTCCTTTTGAGGAACTCCAAAGTCAACTCAAGGAAATAAGGAATGACCTGGAACATGACTTAGAAACAATAGTTTTCTCCCAATAGTTAACCACTGGCTGGCTCTTGACTAGTGATAGGCATCTGATTGAGACACGTGTGAGTCAGTAACTATCCGGGGTCCTTTTTGGTAAGGAAAAATAAGACATTTTCCCTCTTTGAAAGTTATCTCTTCAGAGCACCACGGTCAATTTGAATTTCTCCATTATTCCCTAGAGATAGATTAAAAAACAACAACAACAACAACAACAACAAACACCTGTTTCTTTTCTCATTCCACTATTAATAAAATGAAAGCTTCCATACAAGGCAACAGCAACTTAATTGGAAACCCGGACAATGGATGTGGACTCCAAAGGGCTACCACCGTCCCTTCCTGTGTGCTCTTTTTGACAAGTAAATCACTCCAGTGAGCTGATGTCCTGAAACGACATTTGTACCTGAGGCAATTCTTATTAGGGCGCACTCAGGACTTTTTAAACATCAGAACACACATAGAAATTTGGATGTCGTAAAACTACATGTTGTATTTGGAGAGGTCTGGTTGAGAAGGCAAAATTTTCTAGATATTTTGATATCAATTTGGGTAAAGAAAGGAATACGTTTGTCAAAATGAGAATTAAAGAGAAAACAAAAGAAACTTAGCAAAATTTTACCTCTGAAATTACAAACTTTAGGAACTTTTCCAGATATATTAAATTTAACTTGACAGTGATGTTAGTTTTTATACCAAGTGAATCTATTCTCATAACCTTTGAACCCATGTTAATTTTGTACCCTATAACTAATTTTCTTTCTGTATCCTGTGGTGAAGGAATTTAGAGATACCTAGCAAAAGCCATCCATAAAATATTGTTAGTCAAACTATTATTCTTTCCTTAGAACTTGATGTATCAGAAAATTTATAAATTATTTGTATTTATATATAAGTACATCAGAACTTGCCCAAATGATAACTCATGTTTGCTTTAATAAGGAGAATATGTTATTTGTAGTTAATTATGTGATAATAAGGAACATTTTATTATTTACAGTGACATTAATTGCTGTCCTGTGATATAGTAGTAATGTTAACAGAGAGTTTAATATGTTTAGTATTATCTTTATGGAATTTTTATTCACCAATTTCAGGAAAACCAACCATGGAATTTTGTAACAGGACAGTTTTAACCTGACTCAACCAAATCCATCAGCGTAATGACTGTGTGTTGTGAGAAATGCAAACAACTTTATGAAGGTGTGGTCATCTTAATCCCCAAAGAGCCACAGTGACTGCCAATTATGGAGATTTTTAAGTGGTAATATTGCAAAAGTTAAACAAGAGTATCACAATATCATTTATAATTCATGTCAATATTAGTAGTCCATTTTATGCTTAAAATAAACAAAATCATTAAAAATTAAGTTTTAAGGTTATGTTTTTTAAAATGATGAACTTTCTGTCTCTGGGCAACATGTCTTTATTATTCAAACTGAATGTTTAAGAGGGATTCTGATCTAAAAGGCTTCACATCGTGGAAGTGTACATGGATATGCAGGTGTGAATCACACGGTATGGATGGTTGCTTGTTTATTAACTAAAGATGTACAGCAAACTGCCCTTTTAGAGTCCTGTTAATATTGATGTCCTAACACTGGGTCTGCTTATGCTAGTTCAGTATTTAGTCTAGGCTTCGTTTTGATATGACTGAATTGTGATATATATTTTTAAAAAGAAAAAATCAAAATACATTAGGATTTACTTGGTTGTAGCACACAAAAATGCTTTCAGTGTTGACCTATCTCTATTTTCCAAAGATGATAAACTTTTCGTCATTATTAGCCTACATTGTCATTTATATCACCAAATGAGTTTATAGATTAATACAATAAACTTTCTAATAAAAAAACTCTAGTGTTTCTATATCTGATTCTAATTTTGATTAATGAGAGAAAAAACCTTATGCTCCTATGAAAAAAATATTTTTTTGTATGTGGCCCCATAGCACTTTACAGACACTTAAAAAACAATATATACCATTTTATTTTATTGCATGTATATAAGCTGTCCCTTCAGCCTACTTGTTCTTGAAGGACAGAGGCAACATTTTATTCATATTTGGATCCATGGAACTCAGGTTAGTGGCTGAGAGTCAAATCTTCTGTAACTAGCTTTAGGTTATCTTATGTTAATGCTTTCATTTATGACTAAAACACCTTTGAAATGTTTGCATTATAGCACTGCAGAGTAGGGATCAAACATGGGTAAAAGATTGTTTCTTCTTTCAATAGCTGTTTCTTTAGTGGGCGCCTGAATGCCACGCACAGTTGGGAATGCAGAGAAATGTAAGCTCTGAGCAGTTTTTGAGTCCTTCATTATTTAGTTGGGGGAAATAAAGCATCTGGTTAGCTGTGTGACTGTGGTTCTGTGGTTAAGTTAGCCTCTTAAGGCCTTAGTTTCTATATTGCAGTACCACTGGAAGTAGCAGTACAATAAATTTCATGAATTTTGTGAGAATTTAATAACTTTATACATACAAAACACTTTAGTGCCTGGCATAGACTAGGCACCTAGTAAATGTTAGCTAACATTACTATTATGAAAAATTAGCTAATAACATGAGGCAATTTGCAATAACCAGATGAATGATGAGACTAATAGATCAGAAGTATTTAATGAATATTACAGAAGCTATACATTTGAATGACGATATCTGATCTATTTTTATACTAGCACAAAATTTTGTACATATTTTATTTATAGAGATGTAATTTAGGAAAGCAATAATATGTTTATATTTTCCAGTAACATGTTATCTAGTTGGAATGAGGAATGCTTTTAAAATATTTGGACATGAGTTTCTGAGGTAAATGGTGACCTGGGAACATTCTAGAGAATGTGACCATCCAGAAAAAATCAAGGTCTGTTCTTGGCAACCAGAGGGGATTCTGCATACAGGAAGGTATCAAGTCCTCGAAAGAAGGTGCTGGTTGGAGCTAAAGATGTAAATGAGACTTAATGCAGGGTGGAGAGAGTACATGATGAGAGTCAGTCGTCTTGGGTGGATACACAGAGAAAGGAAGGGAAAAATGTTTCTGCTGTTTGCATTATGCAGCAATGAAAGAGGCAAACTCTTCCTCAGGTGATAGCACTTAGAGGCAGTTTCCACACTGGGCTATTCTCAACCTATCTCTACTTGGACTCGTGAACTGAGGACTTCTGCCACTTACATCAACAAAGAGGATAAGGCTGGGTGTGGTGGCTCATGCTTGTAACCCGTACTTTGGGAGGCTGAGACAGGATGACTGTTTGAGCCCAGGAGTTTGAGACCAGCCTGGGCAACATGATGAAACCCTATATCTACAAAAAAATACAAAAAATTATCCAGGCAAGTGCACCTGTAGTCCCAGCTACTCGGGAGGCTGAGATAGGAGGATTGCTTCAGCCCAGGGGTTTAAGGCTGCAGTGAGCCATGATTGCACCACTGCTCTCCAGCCTGAGTGACAGAGTGAGACCTTGTCTCAAAAAATGAACAACAAAGGGACTAAACTAACCACCAGCTAGTCACAAAAGGAAAAATCCCTACCCTAACTGTCATAACCTGTACACTCTCAGTATAAAAAGACAAAGAAAGATCACAATCCACTCAGAAAAATGGCAGCCCAGATAGAAGGAGACTAAACTGAAAAACTGCAATAAGCCTTTACTATGGAGGAGAGCTAATATAGAAAATACAAGAAAACCTAGATAAAATATGATTAAAACTTTTGAAGGGATACAATCATAGGACTAGAGAAAGGCCCCTGAACTAGAAATAATCATTTCCCAATTAAAAAATTCAATGTAAAAGCAAAAGTAATATGTTTTTATTTATTTTACCTTTTAAGTTCAGGGGTACATGTGCAGGTTTGTTACACAGGAAAACTTGTGTCATGGGGTTTTGTGGTAGAGATTATTTCATCACCCAGTTATTAAGCCTAATACCCACTAGTTATTTTTCCTGATCCTCTCCCTCCTCCCACTGATAAACCGTAGTATGTGTTGTTCCCCTCTATGTGCCCATGTACTCTCATCATTTAGCTCCCACTTATACATGAGAACATGTGGTTGATTTTCTGTTTCTGCCTTAGTTTGCTAAGGATAATGGCCTCCAGCTCCATCCACATTGCTGAAAAGGACATGATCTTGTTCTTTTTTATGACTGCAGAGTATTCCATGTATACCACATTTTCCTTATCCAATCTGCCATTGATGGGCATTTAGGTTGATTCTATCTTTGCTATTGTGAATAGTGCTGCAAAGAACATATGTG